GGTCACCCAGTTAAACGCTGCACCGTGACAACTTTTATAACATTCTTTAAAGAATGTCTAATGCCTTGATATTGCACGGAAGCAATGTTTTTCCAAAAGAATATCATCAATAAGGGATAAAAACATTTCCAGGCTAAGTTGATTACTTAAAGTACCTAGACCAGCAAGTTTCTCCATTGAACAAAAGTCCCAGCAATAGACAGCATTATTCCATTGTGACCGAGCGACCAACAAAATGTACCGATAGTAATGTTGGTGAGTTTTGATTTGATTTTCCTTCAAGAACGCTTATACACCACCCCAACTCCTGTGTACCCTTATGGCAACCCACCAACAGACCAACAAGAAAAGCAAAGGCCAAAGACACCAAGAAACCAAAAGGCCACCTGTTCATGGAACCAAGAGGCGCCTTCTCAGCCACTGCGGAGATCTATGACGTCATCTAAATGATACGGGCCCCCCAAGCCACCGAACACAAGACTCACTCAACTTGGTTTCTACAGAATGTTTACTTGAATACAGCCATCACCTGCTCCCAAGATTTACCGTCTCCCGCGAAAACACAAAAATAGTATAAAAAAAAACCAAAACACAAACAAACAAAAAAACAACAACAAAAACAAACCAAAAAATCAAAAAAAAACAAACATAAAAAAAAAAAAAAAAAATCTAAACACCAAAATTCCTTACACTCAAAACCTCCCCCTATCTGCGCCACAGTAACACGCACAATGATGTTATTGTTCTGTATGATATTGCGCACCCGCCAGCACTATAATATTGTTTTATACTCATGCTGACAATACGGGTAAATGGTGCATGACAACACTCACTTTGGCAAAAGACACACACACAAACGCCACACACAATGAATATTAGGAAGAGCAGCATTCATTAAGGGAACTGCCAACTACACAAAGCACGCCAATAATTTAGCCACTCTACTAATGTTAATGAGAAGAAATAAACTTAAAAAAAAAAAAAAAAAAGACATGCATTATAAGTAATAAGGCCCATGGTGTCTACCCCCTTTTGCAATATCCTTCGGCAATCTGACGGTATAGCTATTGCCCCAACCATAGCACCCCCCATTTAGATAAAGAACCGAACAAGAAAAACTGTAACAAACAACCCAATCAGAGAAAGTATTAAATAAAAGAATAGAACCAGTTGAAATTGAAACAAGGAAATCTACCTCCAGAAACGGTGGTCTAAGATCTTGCGGTGACTGCGCCAGTGCTTGGTAAGGGTGGGTGGGCACGGGTGGGTCGCATGAATAACAGCCTACAACAAAATCCAAACCCACACACGAAACAAATACTTAATCAATCAAGCAACTGCCATTTCACACGTACAAACAGACTTGAACAACTGAAGCACGACCAGACGACACACAGTTGCCTCCAGCGTGAACAACGTACCCTGGCTAGCGATCCAACACACACCAACTCAAATGTAAGAACGCAACAGCTAGAAAAAGAGATGGAGCTTTCACGAATGACCTTGGCAGACCCCATTATACTGGTTTGCCTTGAACCCATACGGTACCAGCTTCCAGTATGCAAGAGTGGCTTCCGTATATTTCCATCTTCAGTTTCTTCTGTGAAACTCATTTTCTCCGCAATTTTCTAACGAAGAAAAAATATGGATTTTGAGTAGCGTACAATCAGAGGCCTATGGGAGTTTGTATATTAATATTTAGTCAAAAACAGTGGGAGTTTGGGTGGTAACGAACACTACACAAAGAAAGTTAAAATGAGGAAGAGAAAGAATCTGTTTTGGTTATGTGTTTATAGTCTTACCCTATTGGCAACCGGAAAGTCAGGATTGGTAGAGGACTGCTCATTCTGTAATTCAAAGTTTCAAACCCAAGTCAAGTCAGCCCTTTAGAATTTTGTTCGTCTAATTATCATTACAAAAGGCCTTGATTAGTTAGTTGGTAAATATAACTGTTACTATCTCTTGGTCGTCTATTTATTGGTTTCTTCTGATAGTGACGTTGAAAATCTGGTGGCTCACTGTACTTCTAGTACTAGTCAATATTTAAACAGCTGATACCAATGGATCCAAGTTCAACATTTAGTTAGACTTTTCAACAAATGAAAATAATAATGGGTAAATTTTACGTACATATTTCAAGTAACGTTATTGTTACACGTGATTAGAGTCATTAGAGGTGGTCATACCTTAAAACTCGCCTATCATGTCGTAGTTATGCCGTATTAAGACTCACAAAAATTTCTACCCTGTTGTGCCGTGTTAATCCGCCAAATTTAACCGTGTTAATCCGCCAAATTTAAAGGCTTACAGCATGACTCTTATATATTGTGTCGTGCCTTGGATTGTGTCATGAGCTAACTCACGTGCTTTATAATATTTAATTTTAATATATATAAATTATGATAATTTTGACTTATTATTAATAATTATTATAAAATTATTTTATATTTTATATTTAATGATATTTTATATTTATATTAATTTAAAAAATTATATAATCACTATAAAATAAATAAAATAATTAGATATTAAAATATTAATTGAATTTCAACACTTTTCATTACTTATAAGTTATAATTATAAATTACAAATATAAATTTAGAAATTAGAATTAAAAATTATTATCATCTTCATTTTCATTTATTTTTAAATTCTTAAAATTTTCAAATATATCTTCAACAACACATTTTTTAATTTTTTTTGTGTCGTGCCGTGCCGGTTCACGTGCCTTTTTTAATGCCCATGACACAACCCACATATTTTTGTATTGTGTTATGCTGTGCTTTATCGTATTATGCTTTTTTTTTTACCATGCCGGCTTCGGCTCTAAACGTGATTATCTATCATCAAATATAACATTATCACACTCCCTATGAGGTAATTGGCCCTTTTGTCTTTGCTTAATGGCTTACTCATAATTCAGAATATTAATTTTGGCTTAGGCGTCATGTGTATTATGTGCGTAAATTTTATAACAATGTCAACATTGGGGCCATTGCCAAAATTTAAAAAATTTCATGTTTTTCACACGTGCATAAGTATAGCGAACATTCAGCTACTGCTACTGGTAAGTCCAGCTGAAACGAAATAAATTATTTGCTTAAAGACTTTTTGGTTGAGCTGAATGCTGTGAGGGCCCAAACCCATGAGGAATTTGCAGATCTCTGTGTCGGGAGATGCGTCAATCCTGTCGTTATTATATATTATAAATATTTCTTCATTATTATATTGAGATCTTTGATGTAACTAACTACATATTACACGATATTTTTAAATAATTTTTGATGGATTCATCTAGAAATATTTGCCCTCAAATATTATAATTTTCAAATGTCCACTTATGCGTATTTTAACTGATTTATCGACATTCTAAAACTCTTGATGTAATAAGAATTTCAGTTACGTAAATTCGAATTTAAAAGATTATATTAGATTGAGTAAAAACTCTTGCTTATGGAGTCCAACTAGAGGCCCATTTGAACTTTTAATAATACAATATTTACCTTAGAGTGGTCCTTCGTTACGAATTCGACCCAATAATTAATGGCCTATGCTTCAAATTCTCTTCTGGCTTAGAAATACTGTATTATGTGAAGTAAATATTTTTAAATTAACAGAATGGGGAGTTCGGAGACAGAGTGTGCGCTGTTGTGGATGGGATCATAGAAGAAGAAGAAGAAGTAAAAGTAAAAAGCCCAATGAAACTAATTTGGGCTTCATTACAATAGGCCATTTGGGGAAGCCTAATTTAGATGACAAGTACATAGCCCCTTGAAAATGGCATTATTCACAAGATAAATGACACATTTTGTATGTATCACACCGCTGACATTGACTTCAAAATACAGTATATAAACTATCTTATTATCCTTGCGTTATGTGTGTTTACATTACACAACAAATCTCATAATTTGTAATTAATAGAAACTTATTTATTTAAATAACCTAATTTTATATTTTTAAGAGTAAATGACATATTCCTACCCAAGGTTTGACGAAATCCTAAGTTGGTATCCCAAGTTTCAAATTTTCCAGATTCTCACCCTTAAAATAACATTGTTAACAATTTTTGGGGTAGTGAGGGTGTAATTACCATAATGCCCTTAACCCTAAATTAATAAATTATGTTTTAACCCCTAAATTACTAAAATTATAAAATTAACCATTTTATTTTGAAATTACTTCAATTACACCCTCAGTGACTGTGCACCGTCTCGGTTCTCATCGGATCTGGGTTGTTTCCGATGGCGACGAACCCTCTGGTCATCTCCATCACCTTTCCCATCATCCGTTGTCCAAAACCCCTCTAGTTCGTGATTCATTGGGCCCTCTAATCACCGGCGTCGTCAAGCTTAGGTTTTCGTCGTTCTTCGCTGGATTCCGGTGATGAAAATCCAATTGGACGTCACCACTGCAACTAGCGTCTCCAGATCTACAAAAGCCCTAACCCCAGCAACCGTTTAGTGGCCATTCGCCGGTGGAGACCGATGAAAATCAATCGTATGTGGCGGCTGTTGTGGCTGGCGATCGGCGAGTGATGAGGGGTTGCGAAGGGTAAGGTTTTGTAGAGGGGAGGATGAGGGTTCGAATGGTGGTGACAAGGGTGATTTTGAGTGAAAGAATCGCCAGAAAAGGGCAAAAAACGTCGACAGTGATGTTGGCTAACGTGCGTCGGAGATTTTGTTAAGGGCGACGATCTGCTAATGTGCGCCTCCTCTGCAAAAAGACCAATTTAACCCTAAGTCGTTATATCTAACCATTTTTTATTACTTTAAGGATAAAAATCTAGAATAAATAGAACTTAGAATTTCGTCAAATCTTGGGTGGGAATATGTCGTTTACTCTATTTTTAAACTAAAAATTGAAGTTAAAACAATAATCAGGCCCAGTGGCCCAAGCAACTGAGTTAGAAATAAAAGTCAGTTGAGTTTAGTTGTGTCGCAAAATCATTTATTTAATCTTATAGGCGCTATACACTTCTTTTCTTCACACAACTCTCTCCATATAATTTCTTCAATTCATTCCTCTTTAACCATCTCCGCCACTTTCACCCTCGTAATTACTCCAATCAACCCTCGATTTCAAGCCCACTGATCGCACACATGGTCGAGCAAGCCCAATCCCAACTCCAAAGTCAGCCGCAGTCGCAGTCGCAGTCGCAGGCACAGCCACAGCCACAGCCGCAGCCGCAGCCGCAGCCGCAGGCCCAATCCCAACCCCTGCCCCAAATTCAACCACAAGCTCACCATGAAAACGCCCTCGCCATCATTCCCACCGACACCCCAATCTCCACCGACATAGTCATTGTTCCTCCGCATACGACTTCGCCCCCTTCAAAAATCCCGTTCCGTCCTCGGAAAATCCGCAAATTGTCTCCCGATAATGGCACGGACCCCACCAGTTCCTCTCAACAAATCGTAACGACCAAAACAGAACCCACCAAAACCACATCATCAAAATCTTCGAAATCCCGGACCACTCAACATCAACCAGCCCTAACGGTTCCCAGGATTATCGCGCGACCGTTATCCTCAGAAGGCGAGGTCGACGTCGCGATACGACATCTCCGAAACGCGGATCCACTCTTAGCTTCATTAATCGACCTACACCCGCCTCCAACTTTCGATTCGTTTCATACTCCGTTTTTAGCCCTAACTCGAAGTATCCTTTATCAGCAGCTGGCTTTTAAGGCTGGCACGTCGATCTACACGCGCTTTATCGCACTTTGTGGTGGCGAGGCTGGAGTGGTTCCTGAGGCAGTTCTTGCTTTAACCCCTCAACAGCTCCGACAAATCGGAGTTTCGGGACGAAAGGCGAGTTACCTTCACGATCTAGCTAGAAAGTATCAAAATGGGATATTATCTGATGCAGCGATTGTAAATATGGACGATAAATCGCTTTTCACAATGCTTACGATGGTTAATGGAATTGGGTCGTGGTCTGTGCATATGTTCATGATTTTCTCGCTTCATAGACCGGACGTTCTCCCTATCAATGATCTCGGTGTGAGAAAAGGAGTTCAGTTGCTTTATAATTTGGATGAGTTGCCAAGGCCGTCCCAGATGGACCTGCTTTGTGAGAAATGGAGGCCGTATAGGTCGGTGGCTTCGTGGTATCTGTGGAGGTTTGTGGAAGCTAAAGGGGCGCCTTGCAGTGCGGCGGCAGTGGCAGCAGGAGTGGCGCTGCCTCAACCACAGCAAGAGGAGCAACAGCAACAGCATCAGCAGCAGCCGCAGCTTATGGATCAGATAAATAGCCTCATAAACATCGGGTATACTGTTTTACACATCAGTTTCTTTCTAGAGATTTTTTTGTCTAAGTTTAGTATTTTAATTGTGTAAAACTATAACTCCTTTTGTTTCTTTGTTTCATTTTCTCTATATATCTTTTTGCTTTCTGAGAGTGATCAAGTGGTTTTAGTTTCAAATCTCTTAATGCTGATGCCTAATGCGGAAATATGTGTTCAGAGCTGTAGTTATTGTCTCTGAGGTTTCGATTTTCTTGGAAGTTCTGGGGCTTTTTTTATTGGTTTTGTTTCTTTACCAGTTAGAGTTAGAGTTTGAGAGTTTCTATTTAATTTAGTCTTATATCCTTTATAAATGTCAAATGAAAGTTGGTTCTTAAAAATTGATTGAGGTCCAATGGGGTTCTATAGGGAGTTTATTTTGGAGTATTTGGGCTTCGGACATTAGGATTGATGGTGTTTTAGTCGTATTTTGAAGATTTCTTTGTAAGTGGTTTTTCATTGTGATTCCCTTATTTCTTGGAAGCTGGGCTCTGTTTGTTAGAAGCACCCTACTAACTACCATTCATGCTATCCCTATTGTTAAATTTACTTTCCAATCTGATTTTTTTTACATGAGTGCTTATTGACTTGTTTTATGCTAGAATCTCTTCACTCCTTAAATTTTATTTATACTCTACTTCTACTTTATTTATTACTGCATGATGTTTGTATGACCTTATAATTTAGCTTTTAGTATCTGTACTCTCCTTAGAAACTCGGCATATTAATATCTTAAGCTACTGAGTCATTCATATGTGAGCTTCCTGTTTTGCTTCATATTATTCATGAAATATGACTCTTTTTATAAGAGGGTCTAGTGTCTGGTTGGGTGAATATTATGCTTGAGTAGCATGTTGGCATATTCTGTTATTTTGTTAGAAATGATATCTGGGAAAATAACTATTGTGTGGATCCACATACAAAAAATGTTCTGGCACAAGCTGTCAATTTAAGGTAATTTTGAATATTAGGCATGGCTGTGAAGCCCATATATGGTTTGCTTGCCATTTTTTCATTCCACGAACATGATTGTCTCCTCACAGCCTGACTGAATTGGACCAAGTTGGTTTGGGTTGGTCAGGTTAGTGTTGTTATCAGGTTTTTAGCATACTCATAATTTTCTCATTTCGGGAAAAAATAAATATTGGACAACTTTTTTCACATTTGGGCCTGTGAGATTGAATGTGTATTTTCAGATTATTTGCCTATTAACAATGTATAGAAATGAGCACAAGTATTGGTGAAAGAAACTGAAAATCTTGTAAACTTTCCTTTGTAGTAATATAGCTAGACTTGTGTCCACTTCTGGAATTTGATGCATGTACAGTCTTGTGTCTGTGTCTACAGGAATGATGTGAACAAAATTAGTAAGAATGTTCAGCATCTATAGATGTAATATTAATTGTGCATTATCATTACACAGTATAAGGGAAAGAGAAAACAAGGCTCAAGCTCCCCCTTGGAAAGAATATAGTGGCAGGTTTATTTGGTTTGAATTAGGTACTTCTTTCATTTTGTTTCTTGGATGGTTGTGCCTTATTGGAAATCTCTATGAATTTACCCATGCTAAAAGAAGGAAAAGAAATAAGTGATAGAATCGAGAGAGAAAAAATAAGGTTAAACGACAGTACAATTCTATGAAAATGTATATATATAGCTCTTTTGCTGGTTGGCTAGTTTAAAAAATCAGAAAACTAACTAGTGGCTTTGCAAACATTTACCTTTTCTGCTGAAATCCTTTATTAATCTATAATTCAGTTTGAGCTTCATTAATTTTTCCTTGTATCTGACATTCAAATCTAATACTTTGAAGATAATATTGTAGAGCACTTGGCTTGTTAGTATGGTTTTCAGATCATGTAAATAAAATTTTCATTAGATTGTCTGTTATTGAGTCTGCTATTATATTATGAATGATTTCTGTGGACATCACATTGCTTAGAACCCAATTCTTGATGCATCAGTTGTGTTGATGTTCCTCTCCACAATGTAAATTAAAATTGGTCAATGTGTAGTCCAGTGATTATGATGGATATTTTTTGTATCCTAAATTAGTGCGCTTTTTTCTTGTTCATTTTTTTCCTAAGTTTATTAAACTCTCCTAAATCAGTTTGTACCATATTCTAATGCTATTTGTGGTTAAGATAATGATAGTCTATGATATAGAAGTGGTTTAACTCTATAACTTCTGTTTTATTTATCACTGGCTTCATAATGACTTGTTAACTGTTGTTCTTCAACCTTGCCATATGATTAGGGCTTGTGCTTGGGGACAATAATGAGGGGAATTGAGAGAAGTTTGGTTTTTGAAGTGAAGCGCTTAAAAGCAATGCTGATATACTCATCGGAAATTTGGCAGCTGGAAGTTAGGACATTCAAGGCCTTGAGTATTTTGAGTTTGTATCCGGTAATTCTGCTCTGAGAATAAATAAAAATCATATGTGCTCAAGTTCTTTTGCGGCAGTACACAATCTTCAGCCTCCAGTTTTCTCTTGTAGGATATTATAGAATGAAATGCTTGAATGCTTTGACCCTGGAATGTGATTGGGCACCTTTGTTGAACTTCAGTGTATCTCCATTGCATCTTTGTAAATCTTGACTACATTACTCATGTTTGAACCGGACTCTGAGCTTTCTATTTAAATATGCACTTGATTGAATATATGCGTGGTAGCAGCCTAAGTTTACGCAATATAGTTGTGGGGAGGAGAGGTTTTTGATGGTGACAATAGCTAAGGATTAGACAAGAACAGCATTTGATGCTGTTGAGTGGAATGGAGGTTACAACTTACAAAAGTGTTGATAGCGACAGTAGGAAAGTTCTGAACTTGGGAAAGAATTCATCATCCATGATTGGGATTCTCTCTTGATAGAGGTTTTACAAATGGAAGTCTTTCAAGAGGCGGAGGTTTTCGTATCAGTTTCAAGTTGTGGGTGAAGAAGGTATAGAGGAGGTTGGAGATCTTAAAAAAAAAAATAAAAGCAAATCTTGGTACGGTTAATTGGTGTTAATTGTGATTAATTAGAGTTAATTGAGATACGATTTACTGCTGGGGAAGCCTTGGACTCTTGGACCTGCTTTTAAATGTGTCAATTAACAATGATTATTAAAAATTAAAATCCACTTAGTATTGTTTAATCAGACATGGAAAACAATCTTCAGAATCAACCAATAATATCTGAGCTGGCAGTAGTAAATTATTTGACGAAAACGAATGAATTAGTCTTTAACAACCTTATCCCGTTGTTATTGAACTGCCCCTCCTCACCTCTTGTAATTGCCGTTACATCTTTGTATCCTTGTCCAGATCATCAGGAGAAAACTTTGTTTGAAGAAAGATGGAATTAATTAACTGGGGTTTATACGTGAACATTCTATTAGCATCAACGAAGAGCCGCATCATATTTATAGCGTTGGACATTTATACAAACACCATTGGATGAACCAAGGACGGCTAGCCAGAAGTAATAATCATATATGACATGGAAGATTGCGACAAGAGGAACATAATAATACGACATTCTTGTAAATCAATTTCTTCGAATCAGGATCAAAGAGGGATATTCTTGTCGAATATCTGTTTATTCTTTCCCCAATTTTTGTTTTCTACATTGATGACAATACGAAACACCTTCGTCCAGTTTGATGCCTGCACTTTTATTTTTCTATAAATTGGACTAAAACTTACGTGATTGCATAGCAATAATACAAAATAAAAAACATGAACTACGAAAACTATGATCCTTCTTTCCCTGACCAACCTGTTGTCGATCTCTATCTCCCAGTTTGGGCTAACCTACCAGCCTTCCGGTCCAAGCCAGCTTTCATTTGGGCGGATGATGACTCCACCAGTGAAAGCCAGGGTTCACTCACACTCACCTATGCTCAACTCAATGACTCAGTGCAGACTATTTCTTCTCAATTATTACTTCCATTACAAAGAGGTGACACTGTTGTTGTTTTGTGCCCACCGGGGCTTCTGCTGGTTGAAATCATCTTTGGTTGCCAAAGAGCTGGCCTTTTGAGCATACCAATGTATCCGCCTCACCCTTCTTTTGCTAATGAAAACTATCACCATCTTGTTAGAGTTTTGTCACAGACAAAGCCTAAAGCTTTAGTAGCTCACCCTGACTACATTGCAAGTGTTAGAGAATACATTTCTTCGTCCTCTAGCAATAAAAATCTTGCAGTTCTGTTGCAAAACATAAGGTGGATTTCTACCGATGATATCACAGATAAGAGGGTTGATTCGAATATGGGCTCCTTGCTGTATAGTGGGTGCAAACCACATGAAGTGTATTTGATTCAGTACACTTCAGGCTCAACTGGGATTCCGAAGCCGGTGCTTGTGACAGCTGGTTCTGCTGCTCACAATGTTAGAACAGCGAGAAAAGCTTATGATCTTCACCCAAATAGTGTTGTTGTCTCTTGGTTGCCTCAGTACCATGATTGTGGCCTCATGTTTCTGTTACTGACGATTGTATCTGGTGCAACATGTGTGCTAACGTCACCTAACGCATTTCTTAGGCGGCCAAGACTGTGGCTCGAGCTTATTACAAAGTTCAGAGCTACTTGCACTCCTGTTCCATCATTTACATTGCCACTAGTTGTGAAGCGAGGTGGGGTTGATAAAGGTACTTTACCCATAAACCTATGGAGTATGAAAAACCTGATTATCATTAATGAGCCTATTTACAAGAAATCGGCGGAAGAATTCGTTGAGTCATTCAAAGACTTTGGATTTAACCCATCGTCTATCTCTCCATCTTACGGCTTAGCAGAAAACTGCACTTTTGTTTCAACAGCCTGGAGAAGCATTAACAACTCTGATAATACTTTCCAAAACCTTCCATCTCACAAAAAGCTCTTACCAAGTGCAAGGCTTGCTTCCAGCTACGAAGAAGATGAGGACACAACAATTGTAGTGGCAAATGAAAATACACATGAGCCTGTTGAAGATGGAATTGAGGGTGAGATCTGGGTTTCATCTCCGAGCAATGCCTCCGGTTATCTTGGTCACCCTTTCTTAACTAGCGAAATATTTCAAGCCAGGTTTAGTAACATTGCGAGCAAGTGTTTTGTCCGTACTGGAGATAAAGGAATCGTTAAGGGAGAAGAGAGATTCCTCTTTGTGACAGGCCGATGCTCAGATGTCATAAAGCTTGCAAACAATGAAGAAATACACCCTCATTACATAGAGACAGCCGCTTATAATGCATGTCCAAAGTACCTAAGAGGAGGGTGCCTTGCTGCATTCAAGATTTCAAGAACGATTGCTGTCATTGCTGAGATGCAGAGAAGTGAAAAAGATAATAGGGTGTTGAGAATGATCTGTGAAAAGATGAAGCTGAGTATTTTGAAGGAAGAGGGAATTGAAGTAGGGTTAGTATTTCTAGTAAAAAGTGGAGACGTTCCAAAAACTACTTCAGGTAAAATTAAAAGATGGGCGGCTAAGGACAAGCTTGTAGAAGGTAATATGAGTATAGCAATGGAGATGGGATTGGACAACAATAACAGTGTGTTATCCATAACTCATGCAAGTCAGAGGAAAGGAAGAGTAATAGACGAAGATGAAGATAAAAAAGATATTTTTGTTTCCATCGCAAACTCTCAAACTCGTCCCTCCTTGCTCTCCCTATTGTGAAGATATATGTTGCTTTTTGGGGTCGTGTCAGTGAGTTGTTGTAGAATAGTTCTCTTCGTGTATAAGTTCGTTGGGATTTGCTCTGCTTGAAATATTATAGGCCCCGTTTCATGTGTTATTTTGGATAAGATTTTAGAAATAATATTGGATAGTTGAATAAGATGATTATTACGAAATAAAATTTAAAAATAAAAAAAAAAACCTCATAGGTTTTCTAATTTAACTAAACACCACAATATATAAAATGTTTGTAAAATAACAAAAACACCCCCATTCACCCACAGTACCAGATTCTAGCCACTACCATCGAAATCTGGCATTACGAAGCAGACCGATTGGATCTGGGCGAACGTGTCTCAATTTAGCCTTTTTCGATCAAATCTGGCTGTCAGCGATGGCCAAAGATATGGTCGTCGTTGACCGTCAACGATGGCCATTTCTTTGGCCGTCGATGACGACTAGATCTAGCCAAAGATATGGTCGTTGTTGACTGTCAATAACGGTCATTTCTTTGGCCGTCGCTGATTGCTAGATCTGGCCTTTTCCGGCCATATCCACTGTGGATCTGGCCGAAAAAGGCCAGATCAACGAATTACTGGTCAGTTCCGGTTGTTTGTAGACCGTTGTGACAGATTCCGGCTACCACCGATGGTGATTGCCAGAATCTGACAACTATGGGTGGGTGGGGGTGTTTTTGTTAATTCTTAAACTTTTTTCTAGGGGTATTTATGAAATTAATAAACTTAAGGGGTCTAAAAGTAATTTAAACAAATATAATAGTATTTCCTAGGGGTGTTCAAAAGAACCTGTTGGAACCAAAACTGGCGGGTACCCTGGGTTTGGTTCCGGTTCCTACCCAGAACCAATCGTCAATGGGTAGGTTCCGGTTCTAGTTCCTAACTATAGGAGTGTTTAATAAAAGCTTAGGAACTAGAACCAGAACCAGAATCAGGAACCAGGAACCGAGACTAATATAAAATAAAATTAAAGATTAGGGGGGTTAATAAAAGCTTTTGTAGAAAAAATAATGTGAATACATTTATATGTATTGGAGACTTAAAAAAAAAAAATAAAAGCAAATCTTGGTACGGTTAATTGGTGTTAATTGTGATTATTAGAGTTAATTGAGATACGATTTACTGCTGGGGAAGCCTTGGACTCTTGGACCTGCTTTAAATGTGTCAATAACATGATATTAAATTAAAATCCACTTAGTATTGTTTAATCAGCCATGGAAAAACAATCTCAGATCAACAATAATATCTGAGCTGGCAGTAGTAAATTATTGCCGAAAACGAATAATTCTTTAACAACCTTATCCGTTGTTATTGAACTGCCCCTCCTCACCTTTTAATTGCCGTTACATCTTTGTATCCTTGTCCAGATCATCAGAGAAAACTTTGTTTGAAGAAAGATGGAATTAATTAACTGGGGTTATACTGAACATTCTATTAGCTCAACGAGAGCCGCATCATTTATACGTTGGACATTTATACAAACACCATTGGATGAACCAAGGACGCTAGCCAGAAGTAATAATCATATTGACATGGAAGATTGCGACAAGAGGAACATAAAAATACGACATTTTGTAAATCAATTTCTTCGAATCAGGATCAAAGAGGGATATTCTTGTCGAATATCTGTTTATTCTTTCCCCAATTTTGTTTTCTACATTATATACAATACAAACACCTTCGTCCAGTTGGAGCCTGCACTTTTATTTTTCTATAAATTGGACTAAAACTTACGTGATGCATAGCAATAATACAAAATAAACAACATGAACTACGAAACTATGATCCTTCTTTCCCTGACCAACCTGTTGTCGATCTCTATCTCCCAGTTTGGGCTAACCTACCAGCCTTCCGGTCCAAGCCAGCTTTCATTTGGGCGGATGATGACTCCACCAGTGAAAGCCAGGGTTCACTCGCACTCACCTATGCTCAACTCAATGACTCAGTGCAGACATTTCTTCTCGATTATTACTTCCTTACAAAGAGGTGACACTGTTGTTGTTTTGTGCCCACCGGGCTTCTGCTGGTTGAAATCATCTTTGGTTGCCAAGAGCTGGCCTTTTGAGCATACCAATGTATCCGCCTCACCCTTCTTTTGCTAATGAAAACTATCACCATCTTGTTAGAGTTTTGTCACAGACAAAGCCTAAAGCTTTAGTAGCTCACCTCACTACATGCAAGTGTTAGAGAATACATTCTTCGTCCTCTAGCAATAAAAATCTTGCAGTTCTTTTGCAGCTTTTGCTGGTTGGCTAGTTTAAACAATCAGAAAACTAACTAGTGGCTTTGCAAACATTTACCTTTTCTGCTGAAATCCTTTATTAATTTATAATTCAATTTGAGCTTCATTAATTTTTCCTTGTATCTGGCATTCAAATCTGATACTTTGAAGATAATATTGTAGAGCACTTGGCTTGTTAGTAAGGTTTTCAGATCATGTAAATAAAATTTTCATTAGATTGTCTGTTATTGAGTCTGCTATTATATTATGAATGATTTCTGTGGACATCACATTGCTTAGAACCCAATTCTTGATGCATCAGTTGTGTTGATGTTCCTCTCCACAATGTAAATTAAAATTGGTCAATGTGTAGTCCAGTGATTATGATGGATATTTTTTGTATCCTAAATTAGTGCGCTTTTTTCTTGTTCATTTTTTTCCTAAGTTTATTAAACTCTCCTAAATCAGTTTGTACCATATTCTAATGCTATTTGTGGTTAAGATAATGATAGTCTATGATATAGAAGTGGTTTAACTCTATAACTTCTGTTTTATTTATCACTGGCTTCATAATGACTTGTTAACTGTTGTTCTTCAACCTTGCCATATGATTAGGGCTTGTGCTTGGGGACAATAATGAGGGGAATTGAGAGAAGTTTGGTTTTTGAAGTGAAGCGCTTAAAAGCAATGCTGATATACTCATCGGAAATTTGGCAGCTGGAAGTTAGGACATTCAAGGCCTTGAGTATTTTGAGTTTGTATCCGGTAATTCTGCTCTGAGAATAAATAAAAATCATATGTGCTCAAGTTCTTTTGCGGCAGTACACAATCTTCAGCCTCCAGTTTTCTCTTGTAGGATATTATAGAATGAAATGCTTGAATGCTTTGACCCTGGAATGTGATTGGGCACCTTTGTTGAACTTCAGTGTATCTCCATTGCATCTTTGTAAATCTTGACTACATGACTCATGTTTGAACCGGACTCTGAGCTTTCTATTTAAATATGCACTTGATTGAATATATGCGTGGTAGCAGCCTAAGTTTACGCAATATAGTTGTGGGGAGGAGAGGTTTTTGATGGTGACAATAGCTAAGGATTAGACAAGAACAGCATTTGATGCTGTTGAGTGGAATGGAGGTTACAACTTACACAAGTGTTGATAACGACAGTAGGAAAGTTTTGAACTTGGGAAAGAATTCATCATCCATGATTGGGATTCTCTCTTGATAGAGGTTTTACAAATGGAAGTCATTCAAGAAGCAGAGGATTTCGTATCAGTTTCAAGTTGTGGGTGAAGAAGGTATAGAGGAGGGGGTGTGCAAAACTGGATATTCGATCCGGTTTTGCATTTTTCTAAATTCGGATCAGGATGAAACTTGATCTGAATCTGATCCGGATTTCGTCCGATCTGGTTTTGTTCGAATTTGTATGAAAAATATCAATTTATCTCCTAAAATTTTGCATTATTCTTTATTACCCCTGTGCCACATCATCATTTTATTACATGTTGACTCCAAAGTTGTCATCGTATTTCTAAATAGTCCATATACTTTACCACTTTTCACCTAGGACCCCAAAATAACTTCTTAAAACTTGTAGTTTTGGACAAAACTGGATCGAATTTGGATATCCGGTTTTTTTGTAGAGTCGATCCGATATCTGATCCAAAATTTGGATATTCCAAAAATTGATATCCAAATCCTATCTAAATTTTCGGATATCTAGGTTTTTTCGAATCGAATATGGATCAGATATCATATTTTTTTGCACACTCCTAGAGGAGGTTGGAGATCTTAAAACAAATATTTTTTTGTTGCAAATCTTAAAACAAATTTAAAAAAAAAAAAAGCAAATCTTGGTAATTGATGTTAATTGTGATTAATTGGTGTTAATTATGATTAATTGATGTTTATTGTGATATTACTCTTGGAAAGCCTTGGACTCCATGTCTGGGACCTGATTTTAAATGTGTCAATCAACAAAAATAATTAAAATCCACTTAATATTGTTTAATCAGACATGCAAAACAATCAACCAATAATATCTGAGCTTGCAGTAGTAAATTATTCGACGAAAACGAATGAATTAGTCTTTAGCAAGCTTATCCAGTTGTTATTGAACTGCCCCTCCTCACCTCTTGTAATTGCCGTTACATCTTTGTATTCTTGTCCAGATCATCAGGAGAAAACTTTGTTTAAAGAAAGATGGATTAATTAACTGGGGTTTATACGTGAACATTCTATTAGCATCAACGAAGAGCCGCATCATATTCATAGCGTTGGACATTTATACAATCACCATTGGATGAACCAAGGACGGCTAGCCAGAAGTAATAATCATATATGGCATGGAAGATTGCGACAAGAGGAACATAATAATACGACATTATTGTAAATCAATTTCTTCGAATCAGGATCAAAGAGGGATATTCTTGTCGAATATCTGTTTATTCTTTCCCCAATTTTTGTTTTCTACATTGATGACAATACGAAACACCTTCGTCCAGTTTGATGCCTGCACTTTTATTTTTCTATAAATTGGACTAAAACTTACGTGATTGCATAGCAATAATACAAAATAAACAACATGAACTACGAAAACTATGATCCTTCTTTCCCTGACCAACCTGTTGTCGATCTCTATCTCCCAGTTTGGGCTAACCTACCAGCCTTCCGGTCCAAGCCAGCTTTCATTTGGGCGGATGATGACTCCACCAGTGAAAGCCAGGGTTCACTCACACTCACCTATGCTCAACTCAATGACTCAGTGCAGACTATTTCTTCTCAATTATTACTTCCATTACAAAGAGGTGACACTGTTGTTGTTTTGTGCCCACCGGGGCTTCTGCTGGTTGAAATCATCTTTGGTTGCCAAAGAGCTGGCCTTTTGAGCATACCAATGTATCCGCCTCACCCTTCTTTTGCTAATGAAAACTATCACCATCTTGTTAGAGTTTTGTCACAGACAAAGCCTAAAGCTTTAGTAGCTCACCCTGACTACATTGCAAGTGTTAGAGAATACATTTCTTCGTCCTCTAGCAATAAAAATCTTGCAGTTCTGTTGCAAAACATAAGGTGGATTTCTACCGATGATATCACAGATAAGAGGGTTGATTCGAATATGGGCTCCTTGCTGTATAGTGGGTGCAAACCACATGAAGTGTATTTGATTCAGTACACTTCAGGCTCAACTGGGATTCCGAAGCCGGTGCTTGTGACAGCTGGTTCTGCTGCTCACAATGTTAGAACAGCGAGAAAAGCTTATGATCTTCACCCAAATAGTGTTGTTGTCTCTTGGTTGCCTCAGTACCATGATTGTGGCCTCATGTTTCTGTTACTGACGATTGTATCTGGTGCAACATGTGTGCTAACGTCACCTAACGCATTTCTTAGGCGGCCAAGACTGTGGCTCGAGCTTATTACAAAGTTCAGAGCTACTTGCACTCCTGTTCCATCATTTACATTGCCACTAGTTGTGAAGCGAGGTGGGGTTGATAAAGGTACTTTACCCATAAACCTATGGAGTATGAAAAACCTGATTATCATTAATGAGCCTATTTACAAGAAATCGGCGGAAGAATTCGTTGAGTCATTCAAAGACTTTGGATTTAACCCATCGTCTATCTCTCCATCTTACGGCTTAGCAGAAAACTGCACTTTTGTTTCAACAGCCTGGAGAAGCATTAACAACTCTGATAATACTTTCCAAAACCTTCCATCTCACAAAAAGCTCTTACCAAGTGCAAGGCTTGCTTCCAGCTACGAAGAAGATGAGGACACAACAATTGTAGTGGCAAATGAAAATACACATGAGCCTGTTGAAGATGGAATTGAGGGTGAGATCTGGGTTTCATCTCCGAGCAATGCCTCCGGTTATCTTGGTCACCCTTTCTTAACTAGCGAAATATTTCAAGCCAGGTTTAGTAACATTGCGAGCAAGTGTTTTGTCCGTACTGGAGATAAAGGAATCGTTAAGGGAGAAGAGAGATTCCTCTTTGTGACAGGCCGATGCTCAGATGTCATAAAGCTTGCAAACAATGAAGAAATACACCCTCATTACATAGAGACAGCCGCTTATAATGCATGTCCAAAGTACCTAAGAGGAGGGTGCCTTGCTGCATTCAAGATTTCAAGAACGATTGCTGTCATTGCTGAGATGCAGAGAAGTGAAAAAGATAATAGGGTGTTGAGAATGATCTGTGAAAAGATGAAGCTGAGTATTTTGAAGGATGAGGGAATTGAAGTAGGGTTAGTATTTCTAGTAAAAAGTGGAGATGTTCCAAAAACTACTTCAGGTAAAATACAAAGATGGGTGGCTAAGGACAAGCTTGTAGAAGGTAAGATGAGTATAGTAATGGAGATGGGATTGGAAAACAATAACAGTGTGTTGTCCATAACTCATGCAAGTCAAAGGAAAGGAAGAGTAATAGACGAAGATGAAGATAAAAAAGATATTTTTGTTTCCTTCGTAAACTCTCAAACTCGTCTCTCCTTGCTCTCCCTATTGTGAAGATATATGTTGCTTTCCTGGGGTCATGGCAGTGAGTTGTTGTAGAATAGTTCTCTTCGTGTATAAGTTGGTTCGGATATCTCAGTTATTAGAAGAAGAAAAAATGTGTTGCTCTGCTTGAAATATTATTGGGTTTGTTTGGTTTATTATTTTGGATAGGATTTTAGAAATAATATTGGATAGTTGAATAGGGTGATTATTACGAGGTAAAATTTATAAATTAACAAAAAAACCCTTTAGGTTTGCTAATTTAACTAAATACCCCAATATATAAAAATTTTGTAAAATGAAAAAAACACCCTCACCCACCCACAGTGCCAGATGGAATCTGGTCGGAATCTAGCGTTACGACACAGATTGGTCAGATCTAGGTGGACGTGTGTCGATCTGACCTTTTCTGGCAAGATCTGGTCGTCAACGGTCGCAAAATGTTAGATTTGGCCGTTAGCGACGGCTAAAGATATGGTTGTCGTTGACCGTCAGTGACCGCTAAAGATATGGCTGTCGTTGATTGGTTGTCGCTGACGGCTAGATCTGGCCTTTTCTAGCCAGATTGGCGAATTATTGGCCAATTTTGATAGTTTGTAGGCCGTTGTGACAGATTCTGGCTACCACTGATGGTGGTCGCCGGAATCTGGCAACTATGGGTGGGTGGGGGTATTTTTATTAATTTTAAAACTTTTTTCTGGGGGTATTTATGAAATTAATAAACTTAAGGGATCTAAAAGTAATTTTAAAAAATATAATAGTATTTCCTAAATAATTAAACAAACAAATATTTGGGAAATAGGGGATGAAATAATAAACCAAACGCACCCATAATTATCATGTTGTTGGCATTAATCTTAAACTTAATGCCACAATGATCATTATGATTAAAAAGTTAATATTATATCTATAGTTATAAAGAATAATTTCACATAAAACAATTAGTAGAAGTTGTTTGATAACACAATTAATTGCTTGAGTTTGAGCTTAAGTGTGTTTAAGCAAGCATAATTAAATTATCTCTGAGTAGTCGAGTAGATCAATCTTGAGTATATTATTTAAGAGGTTTTAAATTCAAATCCCTCCATAGTTATTAATAGCGGTAGCCATTTGAGTTTTTATCCAACGGGTAATTTTAAGGCCGCGAAAGATTAATTGAGATACATGTAAATTTGAATAGGTATCTTGACCATAACAAAAAAAAAAAAAATAAAAAAAAAAAGGCATAATTACTAGAATGTTAAAAACAAAAGATAGAAGCACTTTCTCTCCTCGACTAGGTGCGGCCGTGCGGGGCAGCAGATTCGCCTAAAATTTTCTAATGTATGTGATTTTTTATTTCAAAATTTAAATTTACAGTTCTTATTTTAAAATTTTTAAGGATAAAAAGAAGAAAAAAGACGAAATATGGAACCACGTCCATATCATACGTCAACTCATATGAAAAGTTGTAAACAGAAGCAGGATATTCCACTAACTTTATTTTACTTGAAAAGAGTTACGAATCTATCATTATTTCAAGTGTTTAAAAAATTTTTGGAATGTATTTGAAGATTTATATTCAATCTCGTACAAATAAAGGAAATTTGAGAAACCCGGGAAAGGATATTGGGCTGCGCTGGTCTGGGCCGTTGCTCAAGTAAAGCAAAAAAGCTAGAAGTGAGTTTGGTGTTGGCCCAATGTATTTGGCAATTTTGTGCACTGCCCCCAATACTTATGATTGAGTTTTTTGTAGAGTTGTTTGCCTTACTCCTTTCGTTAACTGAGCTTAATATTGCTTTCCTTTTTCGATTCTTGGACTATGATTAGTTTATTTCAATCCTTGATTTTCTCAACTATTTCAGGTAGCTCTCTGGTTTTTGAAGTCTGAAAATCAGCTTATGGGCAGCAATCAGAATCAGCCATTACATCATGCAATCACTGGGTTATTTGAAACTAAAGCTGAAAATGGGTACTAGCTATAAGAGGATTCGGAATGCAAGTTGCGAATTTGGTCATAAGTGTTTTGTCTGATGAGAAGCTGACAATACGTTACAACTTGTTAAGAATAATATAATTCTGAATTCATTTGTCATTTTATTGAACTCATTAAACGTGTAATTGACAACGTAGATGAGATGAGTAATGCAAAGGCTAAACATGCATACATTAATCATATAAACAATTAAAACTGGATATTGTATTGTTCCATTGCAGAATAGTATCCGTTTGGAGGAGCAGTAGCATGACATCATTGAATTTACAGGATGACTTAATTAAAATTGTTATATGTTGTGTTTTAATTTGAAAAAGAAAAAGGAAAAAGAAAAGATCCAGAGAGGACGATTGTTTCGTTGGTTGGTTCGGAATTTGTATTGAATGAAGCTGTACTGCACCAAAAATGAAACAGGTTACAAACAAGTACCAAAGCAAAAACGTGGAGAGGGAGAGGGAGAGACAAATAAAGCCATCGATTGCATCACGGAAAGGTAAAGACATTGCTTGGGGGCAAGCGTGGTTTGCCAGAGAGTTTCAGAAATGCGCACAATAGCATTTGCCTCTCTGATGCAATTTGAGATATGAAATACAACACAACAGGACAAGAGCAGCAACACAGTGCATGGACCATCTTCCCACTCCTCGATCTCTTTTTCACTTTTCACCTTTTCTTTTTTTTACCTTCTTCTTCGATCTGTTTTGCGTGGGCTCTTAGCTTCTAATAATCATGGTTTAATCAGTTTAACAGTAGTGGGTGTTTGATTATCAAGTAAAACTAAGATTTGAAGAAAGCAAGAAAAAGAAAAAAGAAAAGTTACGTCGCATCATGAAAGCTTAGGTAGCTGTGAGTAGTATATACCAGTAAATTTGGTTGGGTGTGAAGTCAAGTGGGTTCAGTTTGAGATAAGAAAAAAATGGAAGGAGCAATAATGAAGGAAAAGAGTGGGACCCAAAAATGGCAGGGCGTGGGGAAGAGGATGAACATGACGTTGTCGGACCTTTTTGTCAAGAGAAAATGCTTCTAAATAATCTCATCAATATCTCCCGTTATCTCCCCAGCTTCATCACAAGCAACCAAACTGTCTCTTGTTGGATATGTAGTTAGCTTTCTTGCTGGGAAGCACAGAAGCACTACCATCTTCTTAAATCTTAAACCTAAACTTTAACTCTTCCCTTTTCTTTCTTTCTATATATCTCTCCACTTAATTTTCATTTTGATGATGATAAAGCACCTGAAGCTGCTGCGTATGCTCTTTTCTCTCTAGCTGTGAGTTTGATCCGTCCTTTCAACTTCAATTTCTTGTTTGTTATTTGAGGGTATTTTTATCTTTTATTATTATTGCTAACTATAACAATTCTCTCTCTTCTTCTTCTCTGTCTTTCTGAGCTTAATTATTACTTGAATGACTTGTATGCACTGTTAATTTAGAGGCATTAATTGTTCGGTGGGTGCAGGAGCGTAATGCTGAGTATTGAGAATATATAAGAGAGTTAAAAGGAGAATATCTAGTTACCTAAACATTTTCATCTGCTTTAAAAGCTAGAGCATGGGAAACATTTGAGGGTTTCATTAAGAGAACTTAATAGATCAAGAAATTTCTTTTGTTTTCCGGCAAGACTGCTGAAAGGTTCACTGCATGATAATGGAATTAAGCCAAGAAAATGAAACAAGAACGCCAGGCTTAGAAAGAAGAAGGGAAGGGAATAATAATGGTACTACGGTGAACAGTTTGAGTCAAACCCTAGATCAGCTACAACGACAACCATCACTTGGCCAAGCAAGATCTCCACACCCAGATCGAGTTACTGTCAGCAGTTCAACAATTGCACCGATCTCCATTGGATCAAACTCCAAAATGGGCAGTGTAAGGTATCGAGAATGCCTTAAAAACCACGCAGCCAGTGTTGGTGGTAACGTTTTCGATGGATGCGGTGAGTTCATGCCTAGCGGTGAAGAAGGCACACTTGAAGCCTTGAAATGTGCTGCTTGTGACTGCCACCGAAACTTTCACCGAAAAGAGGTGAATGGAGAGACCCAATTCAGTGGTAATTGTAGTAGAAGAACTATAATACTTAATCCACTTCAACTACCCCCACCATTGCCATCTCCAACGATGCTGCATCATCAAAAATATTCAATAGGTATGCACACTAGTCCATCAAGTGCAATTGTTGCGCCAATGAATGTGGCTTATGGTGGTCTTAGTGGGGGTACTGAATCTTCTAGTGAAGATCTTCATGTGTTTCAGTCTAATGCTCACGAAGGAGTTCAACCACCACCTCCTCCTTTTGTTTTGTCCAAGAAGAGGTTTCGGACTAAATTTACGCAGGAGCAGAAAGATAAGATGATGGAATTTGCTGAGAAAGTGGGATGGAGGTTCCAGAGGCAAGATGATGAAGAAGTGGAGAAATTTTGTGCTGAACTTGGTGTGAGGAGGCAAGTTTTCAAGGTCTGGATGCACAATAACAAGAGTAACGCGAAGAAGCAACAACCAGAGAGCCAGTGTAACGCAGGAGATTAAACAATCAGGTGAGTATTATAGTAAAGGGCATTATTAAATGGATATCATCAGTGATTTGTATAATTATTTATTTTAATCCTTGTTTATCTTTTTAAATCGCTATCGTCGACATTAATTGCTATAAACAAAATCTTGTGTTAATTTCCCTTTCGAGCTATATATGCTCTCTCTCTCTCTCTCTCTCTAATCCTTGCAGCTGCCTAATATTTCTCAAATACTAACAGGGATAGAAAATGATATGTCTTGTCTTTCACATTCAATGAGGGTTAAAATGATGAGTTGATGGAAAAGCATGGAGTGTTTTAATTGTTTTCATGATTATTTCTTTGGGTCTTTGGTTGCATGAATATCAGATTTTGGCTGCAAAAATATATTGAGTTTTATGGCTATAGCCTATATATCCTGAACTGAATCTGCCAGGTCTCAGCCTCAGGTCTGGGCCTGGTCGATTAAAAAAAACCATTTTTTTTTATTTGTTTCGTCAAACCAGAAATCTGTAAAGAGCAAAAGGTACCAAACTGGGGGCTCGGATGCTGGACCATGATATTAATGATGCCTGCTCTTAAATCTACCATGCCAGCACGGAGGAAGTTTTTATTTCCTTGGGCGTACCTCTCTTTAATACCAGTACCGGTCCCCCCCTTGTTCAGTTCATAATCTTTCCTTAAAATATACGATTGCGATTCTGTTCCTTCAAGCTGTTCGTAAAATATTTAATTAAATTTATTTTTTGTGATTAGTTCAATTTAATATACTTAATATTATTAAATATCGATGTCAAACTCAGATTTTATGTTAAGATAGAAAGCAAATATAAATCCAGTATATGAAAGGCTTCAAACTGATGAATCATAAAATTAACCATTTGGCGCGGACGGCAAGTCCTTATGTTATTCAAAGATTTTGTATTTGAGTTTTATTAAAAGGTTAACTATCACATTTGTGATTTACTTAGCCTATTATTGAGTCTGAAATTTGTTAAGATGTGCATAAACTGGTCACGGGGATTAGAGAGCGGATCAAATTTTATTCAAACAACAAATTCGGAATTTTTACTAAGTTAGTTCTGGAGGAGACAGCTTTTGTTTATCTTGGGCTTTACTAAGATGTTCCTTGGGCAGCTTGACCCCATTGCTAAATGAACGTAAGAAAATTATAAAAACTCACTTAAAGATACAAGGTGATTTTATTCTTATCAATGCCACCCAGTTTGTTAATCTTTTGTTATCTCTTAGTTACAACTGGCCATGGCTTTATATAACAAGTCTTTTCCGAAAGATTTATTTGGACAAGAAGAACCTATCAACATATTCATTATTACGAAAACGAAAATCATTCAACACAGTGTATCTACAAACCCACATTTCATTCTTACAAATAAATGCCTATGCAAATGGGTTATAATAGTGTTGTCAGATCCATCATTGTTGACGACAAATCCACTCCGTTTCATATTTATTAATTTGGTGAAGTCTGTGTTTTTCAACTTAATGTTATTTCACACACGTTATCAAGTCAATATCTTTCTTTTCTGGCGGAGTATCTACTCGTTGAAAAGAAATGGGTTGCTTAAACGGAAGGGAGCGACGTTTGAGATTTTTGTGGTGCAGTAGTTAAGAGTAACAAAGTGATAGTTAATGTGATGAGATAGATGCTTGGTTTACCGCAAAAGTAATATTAATTAATCATTATTTGGATTCTCTTTACTGTTGGATCATGTGGTTACCACTTACGAGGCTTGACTTTTGATGAAGAAGAAGATGATGATGATATCGTTCCTTTCAAGTCAACGCTGAGTTATTCTTTAGATCCTGTTTGTTTCCTGACAATGGTGTTGTTCACACGAAAGAAAATTAAGAATGGGATGCTAGTTTTTTATCTTCAGTTTCAAAGGTATGTATTTTATCACTCCAAATAACCAATATTAATTTTAACACAATATCAAATCTTTGAATTGATTAAATTAATTCGGTGATATGTCAAGAGATTGGAGGAGTGGTGGTGAATTTATATTTACAAACACACAACACAATCAATGCTAATATAATGGCAAATCCAAGATCTTATACTCTGATATTCATATCAAATTCTGTAAAAATTTTACATAATCCGGAGTTTTACAGAAGACTTGAATATTTAAATTACTCGTCAAAGAGCCTACAAGAGAAACAAAAACCGTGAGAAAAATATTAAAGATGAAATTTTTTTAAATGAAAACCCATATTATTGTGTTAAAGTAAGTAGTATTAATTACGTACCCAAGTTTAAATTGAATCCAGTCATACCATGACATGGTATCTTCCTTAGTTTGTTTGGCAGAATCAACAGCAGAGTCGACTTTGCTCTTGATATCAGAGGCAGTCTGGGCAACGTCCTCGTGGTTATTCTTGGCAGACTCAATGGTAGAATTAACTTTGTCTTGGACATCCGATAAAGTTTGGTTTGCGTTGTCGTGGGAATCCACTGCAGCATTTTTAGCTGAATCGATTGTGTCCTTCAAATCTGAGGCTACCTGGTCTACTTCATCCATGGAGGCTATTACTGACACCGCCTGGATGAATAGGACCGCCACCAACACAACCGCGAGAACACACCTTGCCTTTGCCATCTTCCTTTTCTTTTCGTCAGAAACAATGGCACCCTTCAACTTCGTAAACCCTTCCAATTATACTATTACCTTCGCCTCACACCAATCTATTTAACGTTTTTTACTCGCCTTATTTTTCGTTCAATCTCAATTCTTTTATGGATATAAAATGTTGATAACGGTTTTTTTTCTTATTTGTTGTGCTGCCATGTTTTCATACTCGTGGAGCCTTAATTTTAGGATTCATAATAGATTAAAAGCTGATTAAAAAATAGAAAAATAAAAAAAAAAAAAAAAAAAAATAAAAAAAAAAAAAATAAAATAAATATAAATTGAAAATAAAAAAGAAAAATAAATAAAAATAAAAAAGAAAAATAAAAAAAAAAAAAAAAAAATTAAAAAAAAAGAAAGTAAAATAGAAAAAATAAATAAAAAAAAAAAAAAAAAAAAACACATCTACAGTTAAATAACTATGCCACATAAATTTTCCCAGACAAGAAATTAATAGAGAAAATTATATTGTCCTTCCTGGATATAAGCAATATAAATTTTTAACTTATGTTGGATTAATTTAGATCATCATGCAAATGATTTGGAAATATGGTATTTTAATATTCAAATTATTAAAGTTTATACTTGTAATTATCGGGGGGATGTAGCTCAGATGGTAGAGCGCTCGCTTAGCATGCGAGAGGTACAGGGATCGATACCCCGCATCTCCATGTAAAATACTTTTTGTTTAAATATTTTCCCGCCTCTGTTCTCTGTTTATTCATCATTTCTTCTGTCTCTGTTGTATTCGTTTTCTACTTTTCTTTTGATATGAACAAAGCAAACCACTTTCTTGACTTTGAAAATTTATTAGAAAGAGTACGACAGTATAAACTTAACGTTAGAAGCAATGAAGCATAACACTTTTTTCACTTTGAAAATTTATTAGAAAGAGGAAATCAGTACAAGCTTAAACGTTAGAAAATTTATTACAAACTTAAGGTGGAGGTGGGGGTGGGGGCAAACACGTGCAGTTCTTTTTTATCAGCTTCATAGACAACCGATTAGATTAATACATCAACAGTAGTAATACCGCGAGCATTGATTCATATATTTTATACTGGTGCATGCATATGCTTTTGTACACATCTTCTCACAACATTTCTCCCACTTCCTTCGTTTCATTAAAGCTTCAGATTCTTCATAAGCCTGATCACATAAGAAAAAGACAGAAATTTGAGCATCATTAGTCACATGATAATCTTGTTCTTCCTCTAAAACAGGGAACAAAGCACCATGTTTTTTACCCGCATCCGGATAACATAATCTTTCTAAATTTAGATCTTCGATGTAAAGATGAACTAGAACTATCTCATCTTTTTTTTTTTTTTTTTCTTATACTAGCCGAGATCTTTCAAATTGGGTTCATGAAAATTTCTTTATTTAGCTACTAATTAATGCTACCGGGAAGTTTCAGCTAGATCCAAGAAGCTCTGTTTTGAGAAATTCTTGGGATTAGTGAGGGTTTACATGGAACGTGATGAGTATAACTAGAAGTATCGGTTTGTTTATAATAGTTTATATATCATAGTGGGCTGACTCCAAATTATAGGGCCATGTGCATGTGATCTAAAACAAGCAGGATTAGATTTCATGTGGGATTTTTCCCAGGAAGTTGAATGGAACTATAATTGGAAGCAATCTAAAGTAATAAAAAATTGTCAAAGGGATGAAGGTCGGTGTTTGGTTTGAATTGTAGCTAACAGAAAGAAAAACGAGAGTGGATGACATGTCAGAGGAAACATGGACAAGTTCAGAGTTCTGAAAGTGTTAGTTGATAATGGATTTTAAAATGTTTGATATGTTATAGCGATATTATACTTTTTAAGAAAATGCAGTTCTCTTTTATACTATATACAAGTAAGTGGTAATTGCTGACCCTAAAGAGCATAATGTGTCTGTGTGTGCTTGCTATCATCACATCTACAAATCATCTAATTTGAACTTGCGCCCAAGGCTTCTATGCTGTTTTATGCATGCAAATAACTGGACAGGCATTCTCATTTTTTGTGTAAAACGATTTTTTTTCCGAAAAGGTATGATTTTGACTATCAAGAAAAACTAATGGTCTATAATCTTCTACTTAACCTTGCTTCCCTGCCATGCCATGGACTTTGTTAAGTTGTGGGATGGCATTTTGGCTAGAAGCAATACCAGAAACACATGCGACAGTGATTCTCTAAGGAAGAGGGCTCCTTTGTATATTACAGCTTCGCTAATTTAGTTATAAGAGATAGAACATTATATTCAAATGACAGAGAGGCAAACGAGAAAATGATTGTAGTAGCAAGCAAATTAACAGAAAGGGAAAATAGTAAGTTTGCGAAAATGTAATAAGTGTTACTGTATACTACCTTCGTCCATCAGTAATTCCTATACAGTTGGTCCCAGTGGTGGGCTTGTAATTGGGCAGTGGGAACTGGCCAGATTCTATATACATGAGATCCTGCACAAGGCGATCGTAGTGTCTCTTGACTTCCTCGGGAGACTTTCCACCCACAGCCCTGGCCACATTTACCCATCGGTCTGGGGTGTCCTTGTCATAAACAGCCAGTGCCCTCTCAAATTGCTTGTTTTGCTCAGCAGTCCACGTCGAGTCAGAACGACGTGAAGAAGAGAAAGAGCTGGACGACATTGCTCTTATAAGAATGTGTATTGAGTTTTGGGTGCTAAAGAAGTTACAAAAGGGATGGGAAGTTGATGAAGAAGTGCCTTTGTCAAAGGAGAAGACTGAAGTCAAGGGATGGTATGAGCAAGAGATTGCCATGCCTGCTTCTTATAAGCAAGAGGAGAGAGGTGGTGGGTCATGCAAGTTGGCGAATAATTTTAAGGGTAAATTAAGATGTGATTCGCTTGCTTAAGCAAGGCTAAGCTAGCGGAGGACTAGAATAGAACAGGAGAATCTAATGTCAAACTCCTAGCTCTTTATAAACTCTTTTTCTTGTCTTTTATTATTAATATCATCAGCCAGTGGATATCATTGAGAATTTACCAGCTGGTATTAGATGCCCAAACAAGATGAAATTCTGTCGCCCCACCTTTTGTGACCCGCAAAATCCACAGTACGATATTCTATTTTCTTTTTAGTGGGACTAAGGGATTTCCTTTCCTGGCTTATTTGACCAACTTGGTGTAATATTCTCTCTATAATCAGCATATGTTTTATTCTTTTGTAGTGACGATGAGAACAATATTAATTACGAATAATCAGTTCAGTACTTAGTAACTAAGATGAAGATGATATGTAGAAAACAAATATGTTTCTTTCATAAACGAAGGAGGATTCATTATTCTCCGTTTCTAAAGTGAAGACCTACCCATCAAGAGGGTAGGCGCCGGCTGTATACCCTTTTGGCCGGTTGTGATTACCATCATCAAGATCAACAATATAATGCACCTTTTCTTATAGATTTTATCAGAGCTTGTCCTTAAATTTAGTACGTCACTGATTATTGGAACTTGGAAACGGTGTTTTATCACCTTCTGAATACTGATGAGCAACATTCCAAAGATTTCTTGCCTAGCAGTTTGGTGAGGCGTGCGGTGATAGTATTTTCTTTTTTTATGNTCAAATTGGGTTCATGAAAATTTCTTTATTTAGCTACTAATTAATGCTGCCTGGAAGTTTCAGCTAGATCCAAGAAGCTCTGTTTTGAGAAATCCTTGGGATTGATGAGGGTTTACATGGAACGTGATGAGTATAACTAGAAGTATCGGTTTGTTTATAATAGTTTATATATCATAGTGGGCTGACTCCAAATTATAGGGCCATGTGCATGTGATCTAAAACAAGCAGGATTAGATTTCATGTGGGATTTTTCTCAGGAAGTTGAATGGAACTATAATTGGAAGCAATCTAAAGTAATAAAAAATTGTCAAAGGGATGAAGGTCGGTGTTTGGTTTGAATTGTAGCTAACAGAAAGAAAAACGAGAGTGGATGACATGTCAGAGGAAACATGGACAAGTTCAGAGTTCTGAAAGTGTTAGTTGATAATGGATTTTAAAATGTTTGATATGTTATAGCGATATTATACTTTTTAAGAAAATGCAGTTCTCTTTTATACTATATACAAGTAAGTGGTAATTGCTGACCCTAAAGAGCATAATGTGTCTGTGTGTGCTTGCTATCATCACATCTACAAATCATCTAATTTGAACTTGCGCCCAAGGCTTCTATGCTGTTTTATGCATGCAAATAACTGGACAGGCATTCTCATTTTTTGTGTAAAACGATTTTTTTTCCGAAAAGGTATGATTTTGACTATCAAGAAAAACTAATGGTCTATAATCTTCTACTTAACCTTGCTTCCCTGCCATGCCATGGACTTTGTTAAGTTGTGGGATGGCATTTTGGCTAGAAGCAATACCAGAAACACATGCGACAGTGATTCTCTAAGGAAGAGGGCTCCTTTGTATATTACAGCTTCGCTAATTTAGTTATAAGAGATAGAACATTATATTCAAATGACAGAGAGGCAAACGAGAAAATGATTGTAGTAGCAAGCAAATTAACAGAAAGGGAAAATAGTAAGTTTGCGAAAATGTAATAAGTGTTACTGTATACTACCTTCGTCCATCAGTAATTCCTATACAGTTGGTCCCAGTGGTGGGCTTGTAATTGGGCAGTGGGAACTGGCCAGATTCTATATACATGAGATCCTGCACAAGGCGATCGTAGTGTCTCTTGACTTCCTCGGGAGACTTTCCACCCACAGCCCTGGCCACATTTACCCATCGGTCTGGGGTGTCCTTGTCATAAACAGCCAGTGCCCTCTCAAATTGCTTGTTTTGCTCAGCAGTCCACGTCGAGTCAGAACGACGTGAAGAAGAGAAAGAGCTGGACGACATTGCTCTTATAAGAATGTGTATTGAGTTTTGGGTGCTAAAGAAGTTACAAAAGGGATGGGAAGTTGATGAAGAAGTGCCTTTGTCAAAGGAGAAGACTGAAGTCAAGGGATGGTATGAGCAAGAGATTGCCATGCCTGCTTCTTATAAGCAAGAGGAGAGAGGTGGTGGGTCATGCAAGTTGGCGAATAATTTTAAGGGTAAATTAAGATGTGATTCGCTTGCTTAAGCAAGGCTAAGCTAGCGGAGGACTAGAATAGAACAGGAGAATCTAATGTCAAACTCCTAGCTCTTTATAAACTCTTTTTCTTGTCTTTTATTATTAATATCATCAGCCAGTGGATATCATTGAGAATTTACCAGCTGGTATTAGATGCCCAAACAAGATGAAATTCTGTCGCCCCACCTTTTGTGACCCGCAAAATCCACAGTACGATATTCTATTTTCTTTTTAGTGGGACTAAGGGATTTCCTTTCCTGGCTTATTTGACCAACTTGGTGTAATATTCTCTCTATAATCAGCATATGTTTTATTCTTTTGTAGTGACGATGAGAACAATATTAATTACGAATAATCAGTTCAGTACTTAGTAACTAAGATGAAGATGATATGTAGAAAACAAATATGTTTCTTTCATAAACGAAGGAGGATTCATTATTCTCCGTTTCTAAAGTGAAGACCTACCCATCAAGAGGGTGGGCGCCGGCTGTATACCCTTTTGGCCGGTTGTGATTACCATCATCAAGATCAACAATATAATGCACCTTTTGTTATAGATTTTATCAGAGCTTGTCCTTAAATTTAGTACGTCACTGATTATTGGAACTTGGAAACAGTGTTTTATCACCTTCTGAATACTGATGAGCAACATTCCAAAGATTTCTTGCCTGGCAGTTTGGTGAGGCGTGCGGTGATAGTATTTTCTTTTTTTTTTTTTTTAATGTTCTTTGGGGCTGTATCATCAGAGTCAACAGGTGTTGCTCCTTTAGAAGATCCTGTGTCAGTTTACTTCCTGCTGGGGTTAAACCCTTCAGCTACTATATTGCCCTTGCTGTAATATTTATCTATTTAGATTTCAGAGGAACTAAAAATTATAAACTACTCCCAATTGCTTGTTTCAACTATGAGAATATTTCACCTTTGCATCTACCAACTTTATGCGTCCACCGTTTATGCTTTGAAGGTGGAGTTTCATGTCATAATTACAAATTAATTTGACAAAATGTATTGAAGTTGGTTTTGTCTCACATGGCCAAGTTGGTGAACTATTATTATGTATATATGTGGTTGAGGAGTGAGTTATATTCAAGTCCACTTTATCATGATATCAAAGAAATTGAATTTATTCCATATCACCATGTTGGTGGGCTACTATTATTGAAATTGAATTTGTCTCACATCACCATGTCGGTGGGCTACTATGTATATATGTAGTTGGACCGACTCTTCTTTTGAACTAGCTTTTGGGAGTGACTTATAGATAAGCCCACTTTATCAAGATGCAATAATTAGTTTTGATTACATGATCTAGGTCTAGCCAAGTTGATACTTTGTGATCAACTTGGTTTTACTTCATATCTTTTCCAAAGCCAAAAAGCAGTAATCCACAATTTCTAATTATTGTCACACTGATTAAGCCTTGCAACTGTTTAATAACAGCTGATCATTTCCCTCCAGGCCCTGCATTTTAACTTGTTCAAAGGTCACTCTGTCTTTGGTTAATTACTGAAAACAAATACTTGGATCATCTGTCAATTCGTTAACAAAACAATATTAAATCATATTATGAGATGTTTAGTGTCCCTGTTATGAATCATCAATATTTGGTATGCAGACAGATTCTATGTAGAAAATTTTACTTGTTTTGGCATGAGACAATATTGACCAGCTGTTAAAGTAAATGCGTGAGGAATCTTTTAAAAATAACGCAAAATCTTGATATTTAGAATCCTTATCATTTCAAGTCCACTCCCAGAAAGCTATGTCAATGTATTCACCGTGTATTCAACTCCTGTCGAAATATGGTCCTTGCCCATGAATATGATAGGAACTCCTTATTTACTCTTCTATTTCTGGCAAAGTCCATTAAGTTTACACCGAATTTCTTTTAATTTTGAAGTATATTGGTTAGAAAAGACAAACAGGTTTTACTAAAACAAGTTCTGACTTCTCAGGAGTTTGAGTAGTCTCATATTCACATCCACTCGTTCATCTTCTAGCAAAAGCATGAGGACCACCCATAGAGGGAATCTTTGAATAAACGGAAAATTATATTGAAATTTGATCGTTGAATCTAATTGAAGAAAGCAGTATAAAATCAAACGAGTGGATGCTTGAGGTCATATCACAACCAATGAGGATCCCATTGTACAATAAAATCTCGTGCTTGAGGTGATAGATAATCTTTTAACATGTTGGCGTATATTCTATATATATAATACAATAACCTTCCCTACTTTTATTCTGATTTTGTAGATACGTACGCTTCAGTTCATTTCAGAGTAGAAAGGAAAGGAGGAGGCATAAATTAAATATACTTGCGTGCACCAATATTTGGAGCCTGAATATTATTCTTTAATCGGTCAGTTCTTCTAAGTTTAAAGTTCCTTCTTTTTTCAGCTTTGTTATTGGCATCCAAATGCTCAGCTTGATATATACCTGAAGTAGACTGCTTGCTTGAAGTTAGACATTTACCTAATTTTTTATCAACCAAGGCCTGCGAATTGTTGAAGCTAATCGCTATTCTATTTAATTTAATTAGTAATTGATGAGTATACTAAAGATCTGTTTGAGAGTTTTTTTTCTACTGGTTTTGAGGGGTTTTTAATTAGACTGATTTTGAAGTGTTTTTAAATCATTACTTGTTAGATTTTTTATGCACTGGTTTTAACTAGCTCAAAAATCCTCAGAACCAGTGTAGTGTATTTTTGAAGGGTCTATAAAACATCCCAAATCGGGGTGTTTTGGTTGGTTTTAAAATTATATTCCACAAATACCCTATCCACTATAAAACTATCCCAATTACATCAAAAAAAAAAAAAAAAAAATAATCATAATATGCAAGTATTCAACCATATAAATATAAAACAATTTTAAGCAATCATAAAAAAAAAAAATTATAAAATCTCATTTCTAGATGCTTTCTTAGAGAAGTAGAGTTACAATTTTTCAATCATTCCAGATGCTGCAAAGAATGATGAAGAATGATAAAAAAACTTATCACATTTGAAGTTATAAAATACTAATAAGTAGAAAACAAATAAGAACTCTTACTTTATAATTGAAAAAACAAAACTCCAAAGTACTAGTTAGAGTTGGGGTATTTTTATGGGTATATATGTAAATTTATCATTTTAAAAAACGTTAGAACCGCTAGAAAATAAACTCCCAAGCACAGGTTGGGTGTTTTAAAAACCGCTACTAAAAACCCCTCAAAACCGCTACGATGGTTTACCCTCAAAAACCGCTACAGTGGTTTACCCTCATAACCGCTACCATGAAACTCTCAAGCGGACCTTAAGTGTTTCTTTTCTACTTGACCTGTTTTGACTCTAATTTATTGTGGGCTTTGTTACCTGTTGTTGTTGGTTTTTGGGCCTAACTCCTACTAAAAGGTCTTATTGAATGAGAGAATTGTCCATTCTATAAACCTATAGGTTTGAGCGTGCTAATTGATGTATGATCTTCAACACTCCCTTCATGGTCAGCCAGCTCAAAAAACCTGGCTCTGATACCACTTGTTGTTTGGGCCAACTCCTCACCTAAAAGGTCCAGGCCGGCTCAAGGGGTAGGCAGGTAAGGCACCTGCCTAGGGCCCCCAAAAATAGAGGCTCAAATTTTTTATAATTTTTTAATATATTAAAAAAAAAATGGTGTATGATTTTTTATCCAGGCCAAGAGGAAAAAAAAAAAAAAAAAAAAAAAAAAGCCAAAAAGACCCGAATTTATTATAAATTTTTTACATATATTCCCACCCAAAGTTTGATAAAATAGTAGTTTGTACATCTAGTTTCATATATTCCAATTTACACCCTAAATTAACACATTAAATTTCTTTAACATAAAAGGTAAATAGTCATTTACATGTCTCAAATTACTCAACCCCAATTCCATCACAAATTCGGACATTCACATAAATTATCTTCATCCCTCTTTCATTGCCAGCCGTTTGGAGTGATTCTCATAATTTTCTCACCAAATGACTGGAATCATCACTTATCATTTTCCCAAGGGTTTTCCAACCTTGATAGCCCTCGATTTGATCGATTTTTTTACGAATCTCATAACCCAACTCCACCGTGCAGACAAACCATTTTTGACCTTTCAGCATGTACCTGGCGTTGTTGGCCTTCCCTGACACCACCATCTTCCTCCCCTCAACCCTGTCACCAAAATCCCTATCATAACTCATTCGTTTACTCCGTCAAATCGGCGGCCACCAATTCCTTTTGGCTTGCGACTTCTCAAGCCTTTTCTGGCCAATCCAAGCATTGGAAATACCTATTTCACCACCATCACTTTTCCAACATCTGCTCTCCACAACCCCCCACCAACCTGACCCAGTTAGCCTGCCGATCGTTGTTCACCTCTCCTAATGATTTTGCATCTCAAAAAACAAGAAAATAAATTTGATATATTTTATCAAATTTATTTTAATATATGTTTATATTATTAGAAGGCTCCTAAAGTAATTTTTGCCTAGGGTCACAAATGCTTTTGAGACGGTCCTGAAAAGGTCTTATTGAGTATGAGAATTGTCCACTCTTATAAACCCATTAGCTTAAGCATGTCTAATCAATGTAGAATCTCCAACAGTTGTTATGCAAGGAGACTTTGTTGACTATGAAGAATATGGTATTAAAACTTTGAATGGTCAATAGGTTACGCCTGAAGTGGGTAGTGTTTGTTTGTTTGAATTATCTGCTTGGAACTTCTGTATGCTAATATCATATTATTCGTTTGGTTTATTTCTAGTTCAAAGCGACCATGTCAACTCTCTAGTTTATTAGCCTCTTTCAGTGGGCTCTATTTGCAGATGTTTTAGTACTGTAATGTGTGTGTGTGTAAAATATTAATATACGGGTGATTAGCATTACAGGGTAGATAAAGAAAGCATTTAATCTTATCTAGAATCAGCTTTTGTCTGTGTTGGGCTCTTTTTTTTTTTTTTTTTTTTTTAGTTAAGAATTATTTCTATATCTATCTTTGGCTATGAGTGTTTTTGGCCATACAGAAGTACCAAAGCAGGAGTCAACTGAACTGTATGTTGGGCAAATTTAACACCCATGCCCTTCATAAAACAATGGCCAATTCGTAACCACTGTTCTGCTATCATCAAAACTGTGGTTTGGCCAGGTCCTAATTCACTCTAGGCTGAGGTTTCTTCTAGCAGCTTAATGTTTGCTATTGTTTTCAGTCGCAATTGTTAGACAATTATGTGCAGTAAGAACCGCGTGGAAAATCTTAGACAATAACTAACGTGAAGTGTGAACGGATCACTTTTTCTTTGTTACATTCTGAAAGAGACTCTGGTTTTCATCTAGGTTCAAGACGTCCACTACTAAGTCGTTGGGGATGTTATTTAGCTTTCTTGTTATTTTATTGGTGGAAGAATCTCAAGTGTCTGTTAGTATAAATAATAAGATATTTTCGCAAACAATATCTTACACAAACATAAGAGTATTAATCACCCCTTTCTGTACGTAAAGATGATTGGACGTTATGACTTGTGGGTCCACTGAGCAGTAATGAGGCTGACCATCATTGTTGTTAGAAATTGTCAATATTAAAATTTGTTTAATTGACCTGATTTTTGGACTCAACAGGACCATGTTTTTTCATGGCGTTGCCTCTGAAAGGCCAAAATACATGCAAACAAACTCTTCTGCAAAGGAACACTTACTCCTGTTCAGAACATGACCCTGAAAATAAATTGGCGTTATTCTTAGAAACCGTGTTAGTTGTCATATCTTTTTGAGGAAATTTTTGGTGTTCATGGCTGTACTTGTATTTGTCTCTACTTTTATACATCTTTACTTTGAATAATACTGCTTTTACTGTATACTCTCATCTTTTAACTTAGGTACCATTGCGTTGCGGATTTGGTTCTTTGTTTATGCTGATGCTCTCTGCTATTTAAGTGGGCGAGTTTCGTTCTTGAAGTTTTACCTTCGTTTTTCACTTCTTCAGTGACTGCCCTGCCAGAATTTGTAATACAGATAATAAATAAGAGCATGCCTAATGTATATTTTGTCGCTTGTTTTCCAATTTCTATTGGGAATTATTAGTTCTACCATTACAGTAGATTTTGTTGCTGGATATGCAACAAGCTAAACTGTCCCAGTTTATGGGTTTGTTGTTACTGCGTGATGATAAACAGAACTTTTTACGCCTGAGGATGAAATTGCATCCCGGGAAAAATAATTCTTTTAACCATTCAAATTATTTATGTGTTTCGCAGATTGAGGATACTTTTTAACTTGATGGGGTGTGATGTTGCTGAAGCTGAATTTGAGGGCCAACTTCGAGATCACTGCACCATTAAGGTTAAAATCAGTTGTTTTGTTCATCTCCAAGCTATATCTCTTTTGTTTACTCTAGCGTTATGGTGATTGTACACTACAATTGGAGTTTAGTCCTTTCCAGCAATCTTATTTTGTGTGCTAACACTCAATCCTGATTACAAGGTCTGACTCAACTTTATGTATTCTTAATAGGGATATTTGCACTTTTATCCTTGTGGTTTGAAGTACGTTCACCTTGCTCCAGTATTATGGAATACTTCGATTGGATTTTTTTTTTTTTTTCCCCAGTTCCTTGGTGGAGAACTATGTTTCATTTTATAGATTTTTTTTATTAGAAAATGTTTTTTTTTCCTTATTCCATGTTTCTGCTTGCCCATACTTATTTATTGAAAGGAAGAAGGGAGGTAGGCAATAAATGTTTGCTACTGAGTACATGTATATGACTATATAAGATGAATGCAGGTGCATCGTTTGATGTGTTTAGAGCTGAAGAAGTTGATTCAGAGAATCTCTCACATAATTTCAGACATTGAATCTGCTCGGCCTCGATGCACATCCGGATTACAGACCTTTTGTTCATTTCAGCAGGCAATGGACAAAGCAAAGTCACTTCTCCAGCATTGTTCTCAGTGCAGTAAACTTTACTTGGTATAAATAAAAGCAAAATCTGCTCAATACTACTATTTTATGTTTAGCTGATCAAGAGTAGGTATTTTCTTTTCAAGGCTTTTTCTAATTTGCATTGTCTTGTTGCAACGTTGTTTTTAATTGTAAATTTAAAGGCAATGACAGCAGATAGGATACAGATGAGATTTGAAAGAGTGCGGAACTCATTGGAGCTGGGTTTGTGCCAAATTCAGAATATTGTTCCACCATTGTTGGCTGAGGAGGTTTGTAAAGCTTTTCTTCAATTTTTTTTTGTTCATGGTAGTGAAGTTCAATCTAAGAAAAAGTTCTCTGTTTAAATGCTAGAAGCAATTTGTAGGAATATTTATTTCTTAGATACAAATTCTATTTGCTTAAATGCTAGAACTAGTAATGGGGGTCATTTTAAGAGCATGCTGATATAGTATAAGCTGAAACACTGTTATTTTGATATAGCATCCGCTATTGGGTTTATCACTACTATACACCTGCACTTTAGTAACTGATTTTTAGTTAGCTTTGAGTATAGATGGTTGTATGCAGATTTCTGGGATTATCCGTGATCTAAGGAGAGCAAAGTTTCCACTAGAACCTTCTGAAGAAGAGGCTGGGAAGGGTTTACTATCTCTTCTTCGGCAGGACATATCCGCATCAGGTATTATTAACCAATTAGAACTGGAGACTCTACAGCTTGCAGCTTTAAGGCTGAACATTACATCCAAGTTGGCTCTTTTGATAGAGAGAAGATCTCTTAAAAGATTACTTGATGAGGTTTCTGATACAGATTTCAAAAATAGGAAAGTCCTGAAGTACCTCTTGTACCTTTTGAAGAAGTATGGAGGATTAATTTGGCAACATAAAACTAAGAGTACCCATGCTCCGCTTGAAGGGTCATATCGTCAATCCATTAAGACAGAGCCACGAGTGAACAATGTGTGGGATGAGACCCAAGTTAATGAATCCGTTACACTTGAACCTCCTGAGGAATTCAAATGTCCCATTTCTTTGAGACTGATGTATGATCCTGTTGTTATTGCTTCTGGGAAGACATTTGAACGAGTGTGCATAGAAAAATGGATTAACGAGGGTCACAATATGTGCCCCAAGACCCTCATGAGACTGGACGATTTGTCCCTTATTCCAAACTTAGCAATGAAAAGGCTTATTTCAAAGTGGTGTTTGGAGCATGGGATCACTATTCCTCAGCCAGATGCAATGCCTCCTCTTCATTCCTCATGGAAAGCTTCCTCTTCCTACTCCATTTCTAGCTTTGGCAGTTCTATTGATAATTTGTGTCTTCAAGTCAGCAATGTGTCACTTCCTTCTTCAGATACTGGTTATAGTTCAGATTTATCAAATGGCAAGACTAATGATGGTTTCGGTAGTATGCCGCCTCGAGTGGTTGCTAATTCTCAGAGGCATCTATCTTCTATGACTAGAGATGGCACAGATTTAACCTTTCTCCCTAAACTTGCTTTTCGTCCATGGGGATCACACTGTGATGCAGTGGAAAATGTTAGAAAGCAACTGAAGGAAAATGACCAATGCGGTCATTTGGTATTTTCAAACAGCTATATGAAGCCACTGATAAAATTTTTGAAGGATGCACATGATTTTTCTGATGTAAAAGCTCAAAAAGATGGAGCAGAGGTGCTTTTGGCTGTTTTGAGTCATAGCAGGTAACAATTTCATTTAACCAGGTATCTTTTGATAAAAAAAGTTTTTCTCTTGTATGGAAATTGCAAGAAAAGTTTATAGACAAGACATGAAACATGAGTATGCCAGATTCACTCCTTTTAATTGAGAATAGGCTGTTAAAATTCATGCTTGAAAATAAATGGAGATATCTTTACATGCTCATGCATCATGTAGCTGTTTTACCTACCAGAAGAGTTAGGCAAAAACAGTATATAAACAAGTGATATATGTTAACTCTGTAAGATAATGGAACCAACTCATCAAAAATTACCACCATTAAAACTTGCTGGGAATAGATGGGCCTGTTATTCTATGGGAAACTTATTTGATCAGATGGCGTATTGAATGAACTTGAAAAAGAGTAACGAAAATTCAGGATGTATTAAACATATTATAGGGTACTGCTTGTTTATAGGATAAAAGATTTATCATATGCACCAAGACCAAACTCTTATAATCCTTAGATTCACTATCTGTTCCTGTTTCTGCTCATATAGATATTCTTTACTATAGACTTCAATGTTTTGTTCGTTATTGCACATTTCTAAAGATGGTAATTTCCATGGTCCTTTCCCAGATTTGTTTTCTTAGTTACTAGTCTTGCTACATAAGTAAAACGACTTCGCTCTTCTAATAATAAATTGGCTGTTTCACACAGAGATGAAATGCCTCCCTTTCATGAAGATGAGTTTTTTGTGTTGGCATCTTTTCTGGATTCTGAAATCACACAAAAAGCCCTTGAAATCATCGAAGTGTTGTCCTGCCAACAGTGCTACAAATCTGGACTTGTGGCATCTGGCATTTTACCTTCAATCCTTAAAGTCCTTGGCACTGAAATCAGGGAATTCCATGAGCTCTGTATCAAGATACTACATAATTTGTCTTGTGATAGTAACATTGTTGACCACATCTTATATTTGGATTGCATCCCCAGGCTTGTTCATTTCTTGGAAGATCCAATTCTGGCAAGATATTGCATCAAGATTATAAACGTCTTGTGCTCATATGAGGAGGCCAGGACTGCTGTTGCCCAAACCAATCTAAGCATCATTTTAATTGCCAAACTACTGGAAACTGGAACCAAGGAGGAACAGGAGCACATAGTGGGTATCCTGTTATCCTTATGTTATGAGCGAGCGGAGTTTTGTGAAGTGGCCATGACAGGGAGCATCATTCAGGCTCTCATCGACATTTCTGTGAATGGGAACTCCAGGGGACAGGTGACTGCTAAAGAATTGCTTCGTCTATTGGAACATGAGAAGGAAGTTAATGCTTCAGAATGTTCAGTTGATGATACTGCTAAAGATAAGAAGAGGCCATCTCAGACGTTTGGATTTATGGGAAGGAAATTATCAAGATTTATGCATGTCAAACATTAGCTTTTCTTTCTGTAACCTAACATGGTTAACTGATGACTTTTCTAGAGCTGGGTTTAAGCCTTATATAGGAATGTATAGTTCTTCTTCTTAAATGTAAAGAATCTAGATTATTATTTGCTGTACTTGTAGGAGGCAGCTTAAATTTTTGATCTCCTTGTTGAATCTGATCTTGTAATATTAGAGGTATTGGATTTGATGCTATCACATTTACAATTCAGATTGATCGTGATTAGAAATACGGGCATCTAATTCACCGAATATCTTAGTCCGAACTGGGTTCTTACCTTCTCAAAGCATATTCTTTAGTCATGTAATACTTTTTGGGGTTCATACCATCATGAACAGTGCAGAGCTTTAATTGGGACAATACAAATTCTGTTCTCTTATCTTGACTCACTTTTATGTGACTTCAACTTGATTCATTTATAACAAGGGATTTGAGAAAATTTTCAGCTCATCCTAAACGAAGAATTTAACCATTTATTTGACCTCAGAAAATTGCGATACTTTTAATTTGTGGAGTTGTTAAACCGATGATCGGATTCCGATCTGAGCTATGCTTGGTCTTTCTTTGACTTGGGCTCACTTGATTAGATCCATTATTAGGCCATATGGTTGGGCCCATGTTTGGTCTGGTCTTTCCTAGCCCTCGGGTTCAATTGATTAGTTACCATCATATGGTTTTGCCCAATGTTAGGTCTTTCATCGCCCTTGGGCTTAATGGATTAGATCCTTTCCTATCTGTCAGGCTCAATGTGGTTAGCCCTAAACCAGATTTTTTTTCTTTTTAATGATACGATGTCGTCTAAGTTAGCTTCCTCCTGTTAGGTAAACCCCTCACTCTCGTAAACTTCATCATCTTCAGTCACTAAACCCTGAAATCACCGGCGAATTGAGGGCCTCACATTTCCATTGCAGGTTAGCCTACTTATCAACGGCTTCTCTCTTTTCTTTAATTATCTTTTTGCTTTAAGACTTTGCATTACGATTTTAAAATTCCTCTTTTTCTGTGAGATGAATTTGAAGCGCTTAGTTTCTAAGGATACTATTAACAATTTATCAAGATTAAATGGAAGATTATCAACTCCTTATTTCAGTAATCACCGAAATTTATCCACCATTGTAGCTCCACTCTTGCCTTACATTTGTTCACCAAAAAGTCATGACTATAATCTTCTCCAAAATCCTAGAATCCCATCACCCCGTTTGTCTTTCATTAGATATATTTATTCAAATCGTGAAACTAAACTAATTAGCTCAAGCGTGGACCTGGGAACCGATATGGAGGAGGAGGAGGATGAGAGTATTAATGAGTTTTTGTCACGATTTGTATGGATAATGCGTAAGAAAATGGTTGAAGCTTATCCAGATTGCGATAAGCAAACGATTGATAGTATGTTAGTGATTCTAGTTGAGAAAGTTGTGTCTGAGATGGAAAAGGGTGGTTTACAACATATGCGTGGTTCTGCTGTGGGTACACCATCTCAGGATTTTAGCCAGGATTTGTGGAAGACAGTGTGGGAAGTCAGCAATTCGGTGTTGGATGACATGGAGAAAGCCAGGAAGAAGGAGAAAATGAAGGGGTTTTTACAGTCTGAAGAGGTGAAGGTAATGACTAGGTTTGCCGGTGAAGTTGGTATTCGTGGGGATCTGTTGAAAGAGCTTAGGTTTAAATGGGCTCGTGAAAAAATGGAGGAGCGTGAGTTTTATGAGGATTTGGAGCGAATAAGAAAAGAGGCACAAGCACAGGAAAAAGAGGAAGCAGAGGGAAAGGACGGTACAGTTATGGATGAAGAGGGTGTTGGGATGGACAATAAGCCTAAAGTTGTCACCCTTCCAAAGAGACACGGGAAGATAAAATACAAGATTTATGGACTTGATCTATCAGATTCAAAGTGGACCGAAGTGGCTGATAAGATTCATGAGTCAGAAGAGGTCCTATGGCCTCAGGAACCGAAGCCAATATCTGGGAAATGCAAACTGGCTACTGAGAAAATCCTCTCATTAAAAGAGGAGGAAGACCCTTCTACTTTGTTGGCTGAATGGAAAGAGCTTCTACAGCCTAGCAGGATAGATTGGATCACTTTGCTTGATAGATTGCAGGAAAAGAATACGCAATTATACCTCAAGGTAACTGCCCACATTTATTCATCTCATATCTTGTCATGATTCAGTAATATTTATGGTTGACTAATTTTCTTTACCACGATGGAAAGCTGAATTGTGTATAACTTGTTTGCCTTATGATTATCTCCTAGTCTTCATTCACTAATGTTTGACTCTGACAGAAGCGTTAACAATGTGATGACCATCTGTGTGGCTTCTTTAAAAAAAAAAAAAAAAAAAAAAAAAAAAGGAAAGAAAGTAGATACCATGACCATGGTGTCATAATTGTTTTTATGCATGTGACATGAACAGCTAGGTTTTATAAAATCGTAAAACTAGGGTTACTCTCCAACTCTCATCTATGCACTTTCAATGTGACTAACCAGTAGTTTCACTTTGATTTAATTTGCACATCTTTTTAGTGTGTTTCTATTGATCTATTCTGTTCTCGATTTAGATCCTCCAGCTTTTATGTTATTCTACTTGGAATTTCCCCCATGATTTTTATGAGCTAGAAAAACATGTGTGCTAACCAGAGTTGAAAATTTCTGGGTTACATTATACAGTCCAAAATGTATTAACTATTTTGATGTAGTTAATGTTGAATGAAGTATTTTGGTAGGTATCAGAACTTGTGTTTAGTGAAAAATCTGTTAATGGTAAATGAATTATTGTGTAGGTGTCAGAACTTGTGTTGAGTGAAAAATCTTTCCAAACAAGCATCCGTGACTACTTAAAGCTTATTGAAGCCCATGCTAAAGAGAATCGATTAGAAGATGCGGACAGAATTCTCAAAAAGATGAATGAGAATGGTATACAGCCAGATCTTTTGACAGCCGCTGTGCTGGTTCATATGTATAGCAAGGCAGGCGACCTCAATCGTGCTAAAGAAGCATTTGAAAGCTTGAGGAGCCATGGCTTTCAACCGAACATGAAGGTCTACAACTCAATGATCATGGCATATGTACATGATGGCCAACCCAAGTTGGGTGAGACATTGATCAGAGAGATGGAGACAAGAGACATAAAACCTTCAAGGGAGATTTATTTAGCATTGCTGCGGTCTTATGCCCGACGTGGTGATGTTAGTGGAGCTGGACGAATTGCAACAACCATGCAGTTTGCAGGATTCCAGCCAACTTTGGAGACTTGCACCTTGCTTGTGGAGGCTTATGGACTAGCCGGTGATCCTGATCAGGCAAGGACCAACTTTGATTACATGTTAAAACTTGGGCACAAGCCCGATGATAGCTGCACTGCTAGCATGATTGCAGCTTATGAGAAGAAGAATTTATTGGATAAGGCCTTAAGCCTCTTATTGCAACTTGAGAAGGATGGGTTTGAGCCTGGACCTGCTACTTATACTGTTCTTGTGGATTGGTTGGGTAAACTGCAGCTGATTGATGAGGCTGAACAGCTATTGGGTAAGATTTCTGAGCAGGGTGAGGTTCCGCCTTTTAAACTTCAAGTAAGCCTTTGTGATATGTACGCAAGGGCTGGGGTTGAGAAGAAAGCTCTTCAGGCTCTCGGGGTTCTAGAATCAAAGGAGGAGGAAATGGAGCCTGGTGATTTTGAGAGGATTATAAATGGGCTTATCGCAGGTGGGTTTGTGAAAGATGCTGTACGCGTACATGGGCGGATGGAGGGCAGAGGGTACACTGCTTCTGAGCAGTTAAAGGTAGCACTAATGGCATCTGAAGCCTTCAGCCGCAAAAGACCAACACCAAGATAGTAATGCTTCTCAAGCCTTTTGCTGCAAGAGATGGTCAAGGGAATAATTTGATTGCGAAACAAGATGTACTCCACAAAGGAGTCAGTTAAGCTTTTTATTTACATGATCGTCTTGATGTACTCCAGAAAGAGATATAATGCATTTCTCCCTTGTTTTTGGACCCAATTCACTGGTCTTTAAAACAATTACTTAAACGAGGTAGCTTCTTTTTTATTTTCTTAATCATGCTTTCATGTCATCATTTTTGTTCTGGGTAGAGCTGACTTTTGTCTCATATCACTTGAAACGCTTACCCTGTAATTTAGAATAAGAAACTTAATATTATGAAAGATTTTTTTATATCCTTTGACGGATTTTGAGATAATGTGGTTTCTGATATCTTGGAATCCCAGAAAATTCTTGTGAAAAATTTCAGCAAATTAGAATTTTCTTGTCCAGTCTATGTTCAATATTCATGAATATGGATGTCTTACATTTAAAAACAGTATTTTAACTATATATAATAGAGACAAGAAAGCTAGTTTTTGGACCAGATTTTGAAACCACGGCTCTCCTTGTATGATTATATGAAACATATTGTTGTAATTTCTAATAGTATTCTCCTTGTATGAATTCATTCAATCGCTTCAATTCTCCACTTTGCTGATCTACCACAGCACGGACCACATCTACAATAGAAATCATCCCTACTATTCTTCCGTCTATCACCGGAAGATGGCGTATCTGATTATCTGTCAAACGAAAATCGAAAACTTATGTTGATGTTTGTTTTGCACTAAATCAAACACAAAAAACATTAACTCAACAAAATCTCTTGGATGCTAATTACCTGTCATAAGCTGCATTGCTTGAAGAATGTTTGCATCAGAGGGCAGTGTAATCAATTTCTTCTGTTAAGAATTACAACATTCAAGACGTGTTTAGAAATATAATGACAAACTGTTGGGTCAGATTAAAAATAAAAATAAAATAAAAAAGCACAAAAGATTTCAAGTTCAAGGAGAGCAAAGATATAACCTCCTCTGTCATAATTTCCCCAACTCTTGTGTATTTGGGTGATCTTCCCTGCCCAATAATCTTCCTCAGATAGTCTGCTTTCAGTTCAAATTGATTAAAGTGTCCGAAAGGCATAAATAGAATGAATATTTGGCCATGTAATATTATATGAACAAAAGAGAGTTTTTACCTCTTTCTGTGAAAATTCCTGCAATTTGTTGTTGCTCTCCTGGTTTTAGTACCACCAATGACCCTATATTATGTTGTGCCATCTGCAGCGTAGATGATGATTATAAACTATATATGTAAAATTAAGAGATTAAAAATTAATTTCATTTCTGGAACTAGTGTAGAAACCTACATTTTTCGCAGCATCATCCACTATGTCATGCGTTCTGCACCAGATCCAAGACCCAACTTTTTCTTCACCCTTGCTCTTCAGTACATCTGATACTGTTACATTCTCCAAACCCTTCTCTTCCATGGGAGAAGAACCTGGATTTATGTTATTCCTCTTAAGACTATACTTCCCTTGGCAATGCTTCAAGGTTGCACCCTTGAGTGTTTCCTGGCAAGGTCGCATTCCTCGAACGATTGCTTGCATTTTGATACTGTTTATTGATATTAGGATGCATTACAAAGTATATATAATCTAAGCATTTATCTTATAAACTGATTCATTTGTTTTGAAAAATATTATCCCTTTAAACCTTTCTTGACATTTGGAATAAAATTAACAAGAGTTGGAAGTTATCATACCTTCTTAGGATAAAACTGAGAGAGCTAACACAGAAGAATTGACAAAAGTAGTTGTACTTCTTGTTTGTTGCTGAAGCTATGGCCTCCCTCCCCCATATTTGAATGTTTAATGTAGAAGAATATCTTGTCTTGAACTTTTACTTGTGAATAAATTTTCTTAGTACTTTTCTTAAGTGATTGGGCAAAGGGAGAGAGAAGTTTTTTGTTTTGTCTCCTGGACCTTGGTACCTTGCTTCATTACAAGTTGACGTAAGGAAAGGTGGGTTGTACCGAAAAGTAATGAAAGTGGTAATTGCCTTTATTTTTATTCCCTTGAAGTTTCCTAATTGAAGTCACTACTAAACAGTGGGAAACTCCAGTGTAGTCGACGCAATTCAACACTTAAACACAAAGCTGCGTAGATCGATTCTTGCTTCTTTTGGCTGCAAAAGATGGAGAACATTATGCAGATTCTATGTATTTAGTCTCAAAACTGTGTAGGCTTTCGTGAGTAAGAATCCTTAATTAGGTCCACACCTTCTGTCAGTTCTGTTGGTTATTTGAGCATGTAAGGATAGTTATATGGGAGAGAAAAAGATAGGAAAACAAGAGAGAAGGACTTTGTATATTAGTTCATCTATGCAACAAAAAAATACACCAGACTTTTTATACATGCGGACATACTGTTGTACCCAGTGGCGGATCCAAGATTTTTGCCCCGGGCCTCTGTGGCTCCATCATTATTTGCCAAACAATTAGTAAAAACTTAAAAAAAATCACAAAACTTTAATAAAAAAATAATAATACAATATTAAGAACTTGAGAAAAAAGAATATGAAATAACATAATATTTTCCTACTTGAATAAATCAATGAGAAACAAAATTTTGAATAAATGTGTTAAATAGACCTTAAGCAAAACCTTCTTTTAATATTTTTATTTTTTGCTTTCAAAGATTATAATATAAATTTTTATGACTTTAATCATACATAGCCTAATTAAGCTAAAGTCAACTAAAACTTTAATCAAGTCAACGTTGTGTTGACTTTTAATATAAATTAATAAAAAAATGAGAAATTTTCTTGGTATAAACATAGATAGTAACTCAAATTTCTTTAATAATTTTGAGTAGTTGAACGGTGACGTTTGAAATATAGGAAATTGGTGGGTAAAAGGCGAAAAATAATGTCCTTTAAAATATAGTCAAGGTTTTAATTTGAGAAAGCAGGTTCATTCTTAGACACAAAATACAAAATAAACTCACAAGATTAATATTTTTTTCCCTCAAATTATAATAAAAAACCTCAAAAAAAAAAAAAAAAGATTAAATCCTAAAATAAACTAAATTGTAATGAACAATAAACATACCTAAAATTAATAAAACTAGAAAACGGAGCTAATTATGAAACATTGAGTAGTGAAAATTTAATAATTTCAGTTTTTAAAAGTTTTAAAAGCGAATAACATGAGAAAGAGAAAGAGAATGAAAGAGCAAAGAATTTTAGGGATAAAATCATAAAAAACAGGTGGAGCCGTGGAGAGAGTTTTAAACTTTTAATATGATGTGGGTTTGGAATATATATATTAATAACAAGTTTTTTGTGGACCTAGATATATGTATAATAGTTTTCATTTTTAAAAAAATCTAAGGATGGGTCTGGGTATATATATTAATTAACAATTTTTGGTGGCCTGTACATTAGTAATTTTTTTTTTTTTTTAAAATCTGGGGGTAGGCCAAAGGGGCTAAATCCACCCCTGGTTGTACCTGACATAAAACATATTTTAGTCTAAAATAACATTTTAACCATACATTCTTAGCAACTCTAATTACATCACATTAAATTGATATATAGTTGGTAGCCAAATGCAAGTTGAATTCACCAAAAACTATCACTTCAGCATGCCTACAAACCAGCTACGTGAACTGCTCCAGACTAGTTTCACAACTTCAAATTCTTCCCTTTTGCCAACAGTTCCCAGCTCTAGCGTAATCAAAATATTTGTTTCAAGCAAAATATCACTACTTTGAACACTCCTCCTTGATATTTTTGCTTGAGACACCAAGTTTAAATTTCAAGTCTTCAAAGTTCAAACTTGGACTTACATAAAGACTTTGTAATGATGTCAGCCAATTGAACTTGTCCCCTGTAGTGAGTCAATCTGATTTCCCTGCATTGCTCAGCCTCCCTCACTGCATGAAACTTGATTTTTATGTGCTTAGTTCGACCATGCATGACTGGATTCTTTGCCATAGCAACAACCGATTGATTATCACAAAAAATTTCAGTAGGCTCACACTGTTTTATCTCCATATCAGCCAGCATATTCCTCAACCATATGGCTTGATTTAATACAGCAGCAACTGATATGTATTTAGCCTCTGCAGTGGATTGAGCCACTATTTCTTGCTTCTTGGAAGACCAGCAAAAAGGTCCATAATTTAGCAAAAAAAACATACCTTGATGTGCTTCGCATGTCATCACAAGAGCCTCCCCAATCACTGTCTGCATAGCCTACCAATATGAAATTTTCAGATTTCCTAAACCAGATTCCATGATCTGCAGTTCCTTTGATGAACCTCAGCACTCTCTTGGCTGCTTTAAGATGCTCCTCACTTGGTTTACACATTAATCTTGATAGGAGACTAGTAACAAACATTAGATAAGGTCTTGTTGCTGTTAAATACAACAAGCTCCCAATCAACCTTCTATAATTTGTTTCATCCACCGGGGCTGCTCCATCCTCTTTGCACAGCCTTTGATTTTGCACCAAAGGTGTGCCAACCGACTTACATTCATTCATCCCAAACTTCTTCAGCATCTCATTAGCATATCTCCTTTGACATATAAAAATGCCATCTTGAGATTGATAGATTTCCATTCCAAGAAAATAGGTCATCTTTCCCAAGTCAGTCATCTCAAACTCTTTGTGCATTTCCTTCTTAAACTCTTCAACTTGAATAGCATTATTTCCTGTCACCAGCAAATCATCTACATACAAGGAAACCATGATCACATCTTCATTGGCTTTCTTCACATACAAAGTATGCTCATTTGGGCTCCTTGCATAACCTAGGCTGACTAGGTAGTCATTGATTATGTTTTACCAAGCTCTTGGAGCTTGTTTTAGGCCATATAAGGCCTTTCTCAACAAATAGACCTTGTTTTCTTTCCCCTTGATTTCGTGTCCCTCAGGTTGTTCAACAAAGATCTCTTCATCCAGCCAACCATTCAAGAAGGCTGACTTGACATCCATTTGATAAACTTTCCACCTGAATTGAGTTGCCAAAGCAAGGACTAACCTGATTGTATCATGCCTAGCAACATGTGCAAATGTGTCTTGAAAGTCTACACCATGTTGTTGTGCAAAGCCTTTCACAACTAACCTAGCTTTGTGCTTCAAAACTGAACCATCAGGGTTCAATTTTTTCTTGAAGATCCACTTTACCTAGATCACCTTTCTCTCAGCAGGTCTGTCCATAAGCTTCCATGTTCCATTCTTTTCTATCATGGACAACTCCTCCTGCATAGCAATCCTCCATTCATCTGACTTGGCTGCTTCATGATAGGATGCTGGTTCAAGCATTGCAACATTGCAACTCCCATAAATTTGAGTATGAGGTTTGGTTCCTCTGACTGATACTTCTTCATCTAAATCAGAATCTGCCCCATAACTCAATCAACAACTTGCTCTCTTTGTTGTGGCCATGTAACATCCTGAATTTTCTTCTCTTTCCACACTAACCTCTCATCAACCTTTATATCCCTTGAAAGCATAACCTTATCAAACTCTGGAATATAGTCTCTATATGCCTTGGATTGGAGGCTATAACCAACCAGAATTCTAGCCTTTGCTTTGTTATCAAGCTTTGATCTTTTGATGGCTGGTATGAGAACATAGCATATACTTCCAAAGATTCTAAGATGGTCCACTTGAGGCTTGACTCCATACCATGCTTCAAATGGAGTTTGATCCTTTAAAGCCTTGGTTGGAAGCCTATTCAGCAGGTACACACTGGTGTTGATAGATTTTGCCCACAACTCCTTTGGCATCCCTTTTTCAGTTAGCAAGCATCTTGAAATCTCCATCAATGTCCTATTTTTCCTCTCACTCGCTCCATTTTGTTGAGAAGTGTAGGGACAGCTAAACTGATGCCATATTCCAGCCTCCCTGCATATTGATTCAAACTCACTTGAGGTATATTCACCCCCATTATCACTTCTCACAGCCTTGATCTTTACAACAACTTGGTTTTCAACTTGAGCTTTAAACCTCCTAAACACAGCAGCAACTTCTCCCTTTTGTTTTAAAAAGTACATCCAAGTCATTCTTGAATAATCATCAATCAACAAGGTAAAGTATTTGGATCCACTTAGTGATGGGGTCTGCAATGGTCCCCACACACCAGTGTGTACCAATTAGAGCCTTTCAGTAGCTTTCTAGACCTAGTTTGTTGGAAAGACATATCTGTTAAGCTTCCCTATTTGGCATACTCTACACAAGCTCTCTTTCTCTTCCATTTCGGGTAAGGTATGCACCATATTTTTAAGCTTCATTTGCCTAAGGCCAACATAGTGATAGTGACCATATCTTTTATGCCATAGGTCTGTGTCATCTGAATTCACTGCCATAGCTTGAAATTCTGATTTTTTGAGTTCAACTGGGAAGCTCTTCCCCACCATTTTAACATGCATCATCACATTTCCTTCATTATCTAATACTGTGCAAGATTTGTTTTCAAAGTGTGGGATGTAATTTCTTTCAAGCATTTGTCCTACACTAAGCAGATTTTGATTGATTTCAGGAACAAACAACACATTAGAGATGATTTTTGTACCTGTCAAGGTCTGCACAACCACATCTCCCCTGCCTTTAACCTTCACAAAGTCATAATTTCCCATATTTACACTTGACTGGTATGTTTGATCCAACTTCACAAAATTCTCCAAATCAGGTGTCATATGATTTGTACATCCACTATCAATCAGCCAAGTTCCAGCACTGAATTGAACAGCATAGCAGGATGCCACAAACAACTGCTCAGATTCTGAATTCTGCTACAGATCTTTTGCCGTCTATGCTTGCTGTGGTTTGTTTTTGCAGACCTTTTCAATGTGGCCTAGTTGCTTACATGCCTTGCATTGAACATTTGGTCTGAACCAACACTTGTTCTCTGCATGGTTCTTTTTTTTATAGTGAGAATATGGTGCAAAACCCCTGAAACCTGTTGGTTTGTTCCACTGACTGCTTGCTCTTTCCTTTCCTCTCTTATCTCTAATAAACCTCTTGTTTCCTCCTTGAGTTGGCTTGCTCTTTTACTAGACAACCAATGCAGCTTTACCATTGTCCTCCTGCCTCAGCTTTCTTCTTTGTTCTTGAGCTTGAAGTGCATGAACAAGTTTAGTTAAGGTAATTTGAGACAAGTCTTTGGAATCCTCCAAAGAGGAGATTTTTTATTCAAACCTCTCCGGTAGGCTTACCAATACCTTCTCTACAATTCTTTTATCAGTCATCTCTTCCCTTAGCAGCCTTATCTTGTTAACGACATTCATTAATCTATCAACATACTCCTTAACCACTTCAGCCTCTTGTATTTTCAATGTCTCAAACTCTTCCTTAGGTTCAAGACTTGCATGTTTCTGGTTTGGCTACTTCCTCCAAACTCTTCCTTAAGTTTGTCCTAAGCTTCCTTTGCTGCCTCACAAGCCATTATCCTTGTGAAAACTTGATCGGTGATAGCAACATGTAAATGGGACAGAGCTCTTGGAGCTTTTGCAGTCTCTTCTTCATGGAGTCTTATTTGATTCAAGGTTGGATTTAACCCCAACTATGGTAACTGCTTCTCTTCTTCTATGTACTGCCATAGACTTTGGCCTTTCAGGTAAGCCTTCATCTTAATAGCCCACATATGGTACTGTTCCCTATTGAAGGTTGGAGGTAAGAGTGAGGCTGAACTTGCTGCCATGAAGCCTGGTTTTTGGTGTGGTGAGGACTAACTAAATGGGTGCCAAAATGAAGGTTTCTGCAGGCCCCTTAAGATCAAAGTGAGGCTCTGATACCACTTGTTGGTTATTTGAGCATGTAAGGAGAGTTATACGGGAGAGACAAAGATAGGAAACAAGAGAGAAGGACTTGTATATTAGTTCATCTATGCAACAAAAAAATACAACAGAGTTTTTATACATGCAGACATACTGTTGTACATAACATAAAATATATTTTAGTCCAAAATAACATTTTAACCATACATTCTTAGCAACTCTAATTACATCACATTAAATTGATATATAGTTGGTAGCCAAATGCAAGCTGAATTCACCAAAAACTATCACTTCAGCATGCCTACAAACCAGCTACGTGAATTGCTCCAGACAAGTTTCACAACTTCAAATTCTATCCTTTTGCCGCCAGTTCCCAGCTCCAGCATAATCAAAATATTTGTTTCAAGCAAAATATTACTACTTTGAACAAGTTCATCATTTTGCAGAGTGTGACCTCCCCCTTTACCCAGTGTGAATTTTCATTGCTCAAATGAATCAAGACTGTTCTTTTTATCTATTCATTATGTGCGTTTGTGTTCACCATGATCTTAGGATAATGTAAAGATATTGGAGAATATGAAAGTATTCCCCCAATCTGATTTGTACTCAGTGACATCTTGCTATTGGGTTCTTTTTTCTTGAATGAAAGAAGGAAACGAATATTTCCTAGATTTTTAGCTTTGTATGTGGCAAGGAAAGTTGATAAACCATTAAAAACCAAGCAACAATTATCAAATCTTTAAACACTTTGATGGGGAGCAATGAGGGGACATACCCAATTAAGCATTTAACAAAATACGAACCACAAGATTCTCTTTGCCCAAGCACTGCCTGGTGATAATTTTAGCCAGTGGCTTAATTTGGGTTTTGTAAGACTAGATATTTCTTCAAATTCCATGATCGGCCTGATCTTAAACTTCACCCATGGCCATATCTATGCTGAATTGCAGAATTTAGTTTTACTGATAATTGTTAATTGATACTAAGAGGACATTTGACCCATTATATAAACCACCATTGAATGGTCGGATAATAAAAGAGTAAAATGAGACTTCGAGTCTTCACAGGCCCTAATAGAGGTGGCCAATGAGAGACTAACTCGGTCGTTAACTTCAAAACTTTAGGGGATTAGTTGAAGTACGTGCAAACTAACCCGGATATCTCTGATTAAAAATATATATGTGCGTGTGTGTGTTGGTCCCAAAACTATATATGCTTACAATGAAGAAGGAATTGGTCAACATATTTAAAACAAAAAACGTTAACAAATAGATGAATTACTTGCCTAAGCTAAAACACTGTTTTTTATTAATCTAAGTGAAAGCAAACCGAAGAAGATGATGCTCATAGGCTCATAGCTTGTAAGGGAGCTTTGAACGGCCAAGGAGAGCAAACATGGAATCACGTGCCTGGAAAGCTGGAACTGTACTCTTAATGTAAACACATATACTTAGAATGACTTTCGCATAACAAATTTCCTTCGAAGCATAAAATCCAAAAATAGTTGCCAAGACACCGATGAAAAACCTCCAGGAAACTAAAATCAGATGCTTGACCTGCTTGAGAAGGAACATTTGTCTAAAGAATCCTTTTCTTCTCATATTCAAAGGCGTGTTCCTTTAAGCCTTTCGAGAAGCTGACTGTAGTTTGTCAACTAGAAGACACTTAACAATGCTACATCCTAATTGGTTTCCAAGGAATCAAATTCAAACTTATATATACCGTAACTCTCATCAAATTATGAGCATCACCTTCAACAAGAACCTTACAATAACCCGTTTGTTTCCTTTTTTATCTTTCTCTTGATCAACTATGGCTGAACAGAGGCAAGCATTTCGCTTTCGACTTCCTTGGCTGTCAGCAGTTGCTGCTCCTCGTCCTTCTGAACCCCGAGTTCAGGCCCCACCACAGCCAACTACTACTGCTCCCCCTCAGCGGCCACCATTTCGGCCTGCTGGGATAGCTCCCTCACAGCCTCCGCCCCCTGCACCAAGAACAGAACCTCAGGCACCACCAAAAACAGAACCTCAACCGTTTCCATCTCGTGCAGCCACTGAATCAAGGGTTGCTTCCCAACCAGCATCACCAGCTCGTGCAACTCAAACTCGGGCTGCTTCAGTGCCACCATCACCAACTCGAGGATCTACTGAAACCCGAGTCAGCTCTCAGCCAGCATCACCATCTCGTGCAACGACTCAAACACAGATTACCTCTCAAACCAAATCACCATCCCATGCAGCTACGCAGGCAAGGGCTACCTCTGTACCCCCATCTCCATCTCGCACTGCTTCCCAGACGCAATCAGCAATACAAGCAGGCCCCCGGCCTCAATCTTCATATCCTTTTGCCTCTCGTACTACTGGCCAAACATCACAACCCTCTTCCCCAATGCGCAAAGCTCCTCAGGTGCAGCCAATGGCCAGAGCAGTTTCTCAGCCCCCCTCTCCACCAAAGAAACCAGAACCTGTACCACAACAGACTTCTCGACCTCCTTTCAGTCTTATCCAACCCCCATCATTTGTCCCTCGTGAGCAAGAACCGAAGCCAATCGGATCTCTGAAGCCGTCACAAGAAAAGCCAAAGACACAAATCAAATCTGAGATTGTATCTGAATCTCAATACCAAACTGCAACCATCTTTAAACGTGATAGAGTGACAACACCGCCAGCACAAGCATCAGATGGAGTCGCACCATTTGCTATGGCAGAATTTGGGAAAGTGTTTAAGAAAACTGAAGAGAAGAAAGATGTGGGAGAATCGATGAAAGAAAAGAAGGCGGAAGATGGAAAGAAAGATGCAGTACATGAAGTGAAAGAAGAAGATACTAATGAGCCAGTTGATGAACAGATGCGGAAGGCACTCACTAAGCTTCTTTCAGGGGCATCAGGTTCAGGAACACAGACTAAAGAGTTTCTGAGTTCCACATCTCAAACTGGGGATAGGAAGCAGGAGAAGCAAGAAACTTTTGATAGAAAGAAGCCATTGTCAACCTCCAGCCCTGATGAAAAACAGATCAAGACTGTGAGTTCAACACATCTGAAAGACAGGAGCACTCGAGTTGATATTCTTCGAAAAGCACCACTGCACAAAGAGATCAAGGATGATATTTTGAAGTTTACGCATAGGCTGACCTTAGGGAATTCCAAGCAGACAATGGATGGAAAACAAGTAAGTATTATGACCCTAGCAGGTGAAAACAGAGGAGCGTCCATGCTCCTAGGCTCAGAGTCAGCCAAAAAGGATGGTTCGGTTCACATTCACCGTGGTTATAAGATCGACTCAAATGAAATCCATGAATCTACCACTGATGGAGAAGGAAGCTCCAAGGAAAGAATTCCTAGAGATCCCATTGCCGGAAAAGATAAAGAAACAAAGGTACATATCAACAGTAATGTACAGAGCATCAATAGCTCAATTTTGTCCGAGAGTTCGGTCAATGAAAGAAATCCTGGTGTTCAGCTGGATTTCTCTCACAACCAAGCAGAACACACCAAATCAACTATTCAACCGGAGTCTGCTGAGACACGCAAGGCTGAATATAGCATCACTCCAGCACAGAATCTTACTTATCAGCCCACAATAAGAAGACGGTGCCTCAGAGGGCTTTTCCTGGAACCAAGCGACTCAGACCCAGATAATCCTGAAAAGCCACGACGTCACGGATGCCTCTACAGCTGTGGGGAGACGAGCGAAGATAAGGAGATAGGGCTACATTGACCAAGTCAGACATGCATTGCAACATGCATGTACACGATGATAAAATAAAGTGACAATAAGGATGCTGTATCGTCCATGCTTTGAATGTATATGGCTTTACATTTTATGTTTTAAGAAAATGTGATCTGTATTTCGCAATCTCATATCAAAATATAATTACACAACGCTTCTAATATACAATTAAGAGAATCAATCTGAGTCCTGCAAAATTAAAGATAAATTTTTTCAAAGTCATGAAGCTACATACTCTTCGAGAAATGTCATGGAGTGGCCTTTCTGTCGATTGGTATATTTGGTAACATAAATTACACTATCGTTGCTGTAGTTACATAAAAGAGATGCCTACAGACAAAGATATTCACAACAAAGACCAAAGCCTAAAGTGCTTCCATCAAAACGATTATGTACAACTAAATTGGAGGCAAGACTAACATGAGCATGTCCCCTGGTGATCATTCACAAGCTGGTTTAGTGTCAAAGCTGCTCAAGCAGATTGCAAAGGCTTGGAAGGCAGAGAGGGGGTATCGGTAATCCATAGTAAAAATGTCTTTCCCAATTTTTCCAAATTGTAAAATTACTTTTTCTTGTTCTGACACCGATACATTTTGGGATGGCTCTGCAGACGCCACTAGCTGAAAATTCTTCACAGAGGCTACCGTAACTCGTCCTTTGAAATTTAGACACCAACACTGCAATTGCTCATGCCATCTAGGAGCTTTATTTTTCAAAACCAGAGGATCCTTAGTGTTGAGGATTGATTCCAGTGGCTCAGCAAGGCTATTGGAGCTGAATCCAACAAGTGGCTTCTTTCCATTCGATACTGGAACGGTAGGAAATTGCTCATCACGAAAATTTGTGAATTCTGTCGGCGTAGGAGCAGTGCCCCCTTCTTGAACAGAAGAGATAGGAATTGAATGCATGGTGCACTGCATTCTCCTTGGGCCTCTGGTACGGAGGACGTTGAGCTCGTAAGATATGGTAGCCACACTGTAGTTACTAGCAGGTACATTTGGAGTTACCTGTTTCGGGAAGATTTTTCGCTGCAACTTACAATTGGATTGGATGGCAGGGTCGCAGGGAGGCTGACTGTCGTAAATTGTGAATTTAGTTCCGAGGAAATTAGACCTGTTAAGAATTTGCAGGTGAGTTGCATGAAAAAAGGATGCATCCATTCAATGCTAAGAATCCTGCAAACCTTGAACTTACCTCAGTTTTCCAACATAAGTACTGTTTGTTCGAGTGAAATCCTCGCCAACTAAGGATATGATAAAATCAGTGCTTGTTGCCTTTCTGATTTTTCTTGCTGCCAACAGCAATTTACTCATATCACCTGAAAGAGCTGAATTGTATCAAAAACATAAGCAAAGTACATTAGCAGTTGAGGCAATTAATTCATAAGCCTTTGAAAATTGACTTTAAAGAAGTACACGAAGTAGAATATGTAAAAAGCAAGTGTGATCATCTCAACAAAGAATATTATAAAAATAAAATAAGAAAGTGAAATTTCAATAATAGTTTTCCTCGAAGCTTCCATACATAGTATATCATCCATGGCTAAGTTCCATACAAGGTAACTAACTCCAGCACTCTGTATATCAATCTCAAATTACGCCATTCTGAGAGAGCTTACAATCAATTGAAAGATATAATAATCACAGGAATGATGATTAATCAGAACAAACGGATTTTCAAGAATCAAAAAGTAGAATCTATGCAGTTAAATAATCAAATTGCTAGTTTCAAATCAGTGCATAGTCAAATTTATCAGAAACAAGAGAGCATAACGCATAGGATTTGCAATAATTACCAGGACTGAGACCAAGATATAGTCTATATGTTCCAGTCGGCCTTTCCCTCCTAATAAAGCACTGAATTGGAGCATCTCTCGGACCGGGCTACTCAAAATCCAGAAACACTAAGTCAGAAACGTCTAGAACAATACTCAAAAGACTAAAGAGACAGCAGATCAGAGGGGGGAAAAGAAAACTAATAAGTTACCTGCTTCAGAGAGATGGGAAAAGAAAGTAAGCCGCATTGCTCAGGAGTCTTAACAAGCTCCTTTGTAATGGCCCTCCAAGACTTACAAACCGAAGCACAAGCAACGACATCCCTCCTGGCAGGCCAGGAAGTCTCACTGGCTTCTACACGCTGAATTATGTCAACAAGCAATTCAGGGGGAATATTTGCCCACCGGCTCTGATCAATTATTGATGAAGATGACGATGTAGAACCCTCAGGAGCGATATATGACCGCCCTCGCCGTCTCGAATTATGTCTTCCATCTGAACTTCTTCTTGATATGCTCCCTATACCATCTCGCAGATCCAAAAGCTCACGAACAATGCTCTTCAACACCATTTTTTCACCAAAACTTCCACTTTTCACTGTACAAAAAACAAATAAATAAATAAGTAAAATTGCATATATCTGATTTTTTTTTCACTCAGGCTCGCATCTAAAGTGTATAAAATGTTTTGTTCTTTAAAAAATTAAAAATTAAAAATTAAAAAAAAATCGTCAGTTTACCTTGCGGATCAGGTCTTGGTGAGTTGCATGTAGATTTAAACTTGAATGACGGTTAGTTAAAAAACGAAACGCAAGATCAGCTATATTTTCACAAAACTTTCACTCAAAGTTAGGAAAAGAGAATCTACATGACCAGGGATGGAGCAGCACGTTTAGAGATGTTATCATTCCCATCGAAAATCGAAAATCGATAAATGCGAGAAGAACAGGATGATGAATATTTCAGGTATTTTTTAAAAACTCCAGATCTAGCACGAATATGGAAGAAGATAGATCCGTGTACCAAACGAGAGACAAATTCATAGGAGATCACGAAATTCTCTGAACAACTTGGGGAGGAAATAGTGAACCAAGAAGATAGAAGAGAGAAGAGGGGGCAATTTCGACAATCTCTCAATTTCTAGAGAAGAGAAAAGTAAGAAATTAGAAAATGGCTATCATTTCCTTAAAAAAAAAAAAAAGAAGAAGAAGCCAAGTCTGTTTCTTGGGCGTAAAAGAAACCTCTATCTCTCTCTCTCCATCAGCACCGCGGCCACCACGACCTGAGAGGCTACTCTGCCTCTGCTCCAGCGACTGCCACAAACCTCAAAAAGAGCTTTTCTCGGATCCCGATTTCTCATATCTTCCCAATTCCCATTTAAACCTGTATTAATTTTTTTCGTTATATTTTTTGGAATTTTGACCTCTCTTTTTCGTCTCGTTTCGTCCGTTAAATTAATTGGCTGTATCGCAGTAGGACCATCTGCTTCGGTTTATGTGATTTCAGCTGTCCGATAAAATAAATAAATAAAGCTTGGCAGTAGTGTATATTGGCTGTTTCTTCTCCACACAAAAACTAAAATAAATTTTATATGTGAAGAGTTCTTAATGAGGAAATTAGCTTTCGGCTTAAGCAGTGTCATAGTAATCGTGGTTGGCAAAGCCGTTACAGTAACACCATTAGGTCCATTACCATACAGGATAAAAAATCAAGGGCTGTTTCTTTTTCTTAATTATTTCTTTTCAAAGAGAAAATTAACAATAAAAAAATATTAATTAATTCTCTCCCTGACATAAAATAAATGCTATAAGACAGTCAATAAAAAACATTATCTTCTCATAACAACTTTCTTTATTAATTTTCTCTTACAACTTGTAATTAACCATTTTGCTCTCTAAGCATGGAAGCAAGAACATCATTGCATGAGCTGCAAGCCTGCAATTACGTGTTATCAATTAATTTGACAAATTCAAAGTTTTTCTATAATATTGATGAAAAGAAATACCTTAACCCACATTGACTTAACCTAAAAGAATTATTTTTGGGGGCTTAATGGTTTAATAAAGATTTTTAAATGTATTATTTAAGAGAATTTGAGTTTGAACCTTTATTCGATTATTAATTATTAATAGAAATTATCAATACAAAAATTAACCTAAAGTTTTTATGTCATCTTAAAACTATCAATTACCAAACAATAAGATACTAAATCATGTTAAATTAATAATAGAATAATATTAATTTTATAAAGAGGTATATAAAGAATTAAATTCAACCCTTTTTTAAAGGAAAAAAGAGAAAGAGAAAGATGCAATATGAAGTATTACTCTTAATAATAATGTAAATGGGAAATTAATAGCAAATGATGAAATAGATTTATAGCGACAGGACGTGGGTTTGGTTATGGTGGATCTTAGGCCATTTTCAAAGTTGACATGACGGAGTTAAAAAAGAAAGGAGGCAAATAAACTGGTCAATTTCCTTCACTCCAAATTAATTAAGGTCTTTGTTAAGGAGATCTGAGATCTAAAAGACACTTGAGGGCCCATTCTTCAAAACCATGTCTATAACAATTCCTTTCCCCGACAATTTATGTAGTAGGTGAACTCTCAAGATCTCACCCTCAAAAAGACTGGATTAGTATCAGTAGTCAGTACATTAATAATACATGCAGCAAATGTAATAGCTTTATGCGTGGGGCCTTAAGTTTTAATATTGCAAAAAAATTTATCAATCAAACCCAAATCCTTTTTTAAGCAAAATATTAATAATTGGAATGATCACACGTGGTGAAGTGGCAGCCCACGTGGATGGTCAAAGATGTGAGACGGTGGAGCCTTTTCAGCCTTCTCTTAAGTCTTATCTGAATTCTGGTCTGAAGATTAACTTAAGAAGAGAATGGATGGTAGATGATGTCAACATTGTGTTTGGAACACTGCACCCGTACGTATTTGGGTAAATCTCGGCCATGTGATGTGAGTGAAATGGCAACCAAAAATTCTTGACTGCCGAGTCGGTGTCAGAGAGGTGGCCAGCAACAGTCACAGTTGCACGTGTTGGCAGGCTTTTTCAGTTCTCACAACAGTGAAATGCATGTGCTGGGCCTGGGATGACCACAATTCATCTTTTTCTTATTGACATATACCTATTAAATATATAATAAACAGTACTTAAGATTTATATCTTTTTCATCCGAGTGTCACCACCATTTATCGAATCTAGTCCTTTGTTTTTGTTAGTGGAACCCTTGATTAGCCTGTTATGATTTTTGCTTTCGAATCTATGACACTATTAGAAGAAAAGCACGTTAGGGTGATAATGTATGCTTTAATCAATTATTATAGGTAGGTAATCAAACCAAAGTATTCTACCACTTTCTTTAGTGGAGTAGTTTTGGATAGTTTATGCTTTCATGATATTTAATCGCATCAAAGCACTTGGCTAAGACGACTACAACAGTAACCTCCACCAGAAAAGTGGTCCACTTACCGACTACTTCCTCAATGCTCACTTATATTTGCGGCACTGTTGTGTGTAGCCTCAGTGGAAACCTCCAACATCCGGAGACATCCAAGCACTTAAATTTTCCATTCAAAAATAACTTCAGAAGCAGGAATAATTTCATGAGAAAAATATATTGACTGGGTTTAATCGTATGATACGTTTAAGTTATGAAACAAACAGATACTACCAATCTCGATGAAAATGATCAAAATGAGGATGGGTTTGTTAGTCCAATCTAATTCTGATAAGCCCATGGGGATGGGAGATCCATGCAGAACAAAGTCAAATGTGGAGCCCTTATTCCAATTGTGGGCTGAGGTATTGGAGTTTGGTTAGACACAAGAGCCAACAAGGACAGACAGAGGAGTCACATAGCCGTAGACATGAAATGATGAGCATATTCGACGCAGATAAGGTTAGGCTGCCAATGCCATTTATGGAGCTAGCTGTATATTCCCCACCTTTTGTACCAAGTTTAGAGGCAATGCCAGCTAATTTCATGTTGTGACTTTGTGTCTAAGTTGTTGAGTCCCTACTTAACAAATCTGTGATCATATGAATCTGTGCATGGGAGCCCACCATTAATTCTCATTTCTCTATGTTTTTCACCCTTAGTAATTTCAGACTCTTCAGTACAATGGTAAGGGATGCATGGTATTGGTAGGAGTGGTTATATAAGGATGCTTTAAAGTTTAGACACCATCAATACCTCGTGAAATTTACTTATAACTCTACCCACAACCTGTCTGCTGTCTTATAATTAATGCGAAATCCAGCTTTTAATCATTTTAGCTTTCTTATTTAGTAACGAGAGAGAAAGTGATGAGAAAATAAGCTCTCAGTTTAAGTCTTTCATGAGCTAGCTATAGTTGGCTTTCTTTAAGTTAGTTGGTGGTTGCTGATGAAAAGTATCCCGTATTCTTACTAATTTCCTCAAAAAGTTGGTTCAATTTAGAGATGTGTTAGGGCCAAATAATGTCCTCGGCCCAAATAGGCCTAAAGACGAAGACATCTTCAACAAAGCTGAAAGCTCAGACCCAATTCCGATGGTATCCAAATCAGAGTTCTGCAGATGAGGCTCGTTCGGTATGCTTTCCCAGTTCCTCACCATCTGAACACAGGCCTTCTGATCCTAGAACACCTTCTGGACTTACGATCAACTTGGAACCCACAATCGCCTACGAACTACAGTACTACTTGAACTCTACTAAAGAAGTCAATCACTATCCTAATTTGTCTAAGGTCCGTATCCTAGGCGTGCCGGGACTCCCTTTCCCACTGAGACAAAGGAGCCAAAAGCTCCACTCTTTGAGAAAACCACCACTGCAAGGACTCTCAGTCCCACCGGGATTCGAAGACCCTGCAGTCACTATTTAAACAGAGGTCAGCCCTTTCATAAGGGACGAAGACATTACACCTTCAGACTCTGGAGTTCCCACTTGAGAACTTCGCATTACAGCCGTAGTCACAGACCCCGACTAGACTTCTGGTAACTTTTCATTTCCCTAACCCTCACTAAACTAGCCTCATTCAGCCTTGCTGACTTGAGCGTCGGAGTGCCTACGACATACACCACTTCGGTGTTTTCCATCTACTTCACACTTGTTTCCTTACGTGTGCAGATGCAGCAGATCGCTAGTGGCCTCAACCTCACGGGATCAATTCCTATTTCTGTACAGGTAGATTTTTGCATCTACAAGATGCTCACTCTGTTTTAATGAATTGCTATATCAAAATTCAAACATTAATTATCCCACCATGTAGCTCTGAAATTCTCTATGATCTATATTTTACAATGTCGACTTCATTAACTAGATTATTCTATTTTTATATATATCCCAACGAATATATTGATAAATTGCTCTCATCGTTTTGTTAAAAGTAGTACAAAATTCTGGGACACTTTCTCCACAAGTAAACGACTTTTTCCCACTCAAACAATAGTTTAATGACACTTTTCCAACCACAAACATTTAGAATACCATTTTATTACTCAAATTTATATTCAGTTTTCGATTTCGGTATCATTGTAATCCCACACCACCACCATTCTCTTTCCCTGATCATCACTCACCAAAACCTCTCAAACCCTATTGCCGCTGACCCCACCAATTGTAAGCAATCGAATGATTAAGGTTTGCATAACTATCCCTCCTAAGTCAAATTTTGATCAATCCTAATAGCTAAAATCCAAACTTTCACCACCAAAAGACTCATCGGCCTCCCCTCTTCAAAAGCCCTAACAGTCGAGATTGAGTTTGTTCTCTATTCGCTGCTAGAATATAAATTTAGATAATAAAATTATATTTTAAAATTTTGTGGATTAAAAAATATCATTAAACAATTATTTGAGTGAGAAAAAGTCATTAACTCTTCTCCACACACAAACACAACGAGCGTGCTGAATTGGGCCAGTAAAAAGAAACTGGTCTAGAGCGAAATTTGTTGCGTAAATTGTGTGGGCTCCAACTTTAAACGAAACCCAAATCCCCTAAATTCAGGGCACGAACAACCCAAGACAAACGCCAAAAACAGATTCTAAAAAATTAAAAACAAGTCGCATCCAAATTCCCTGGTGTAAGTGTGACCAACGATAGGTACATACATATACATTACTATATATTTATCTTTTTGATTTTGTCACCTTGCGGAAATCTGTGGGCTGCCGGATTATTTATGCACTAAAGTTCATTAAACTTATCACAATCAAACAAACAGTGCATCAGCACTACATGATTAACATCTTTTTTCTCATCCTCGTAGGAAAAATATCTTTCAGGATAAGAACAAAATAAAAAAGATAAGATAGACCACTAGCAATGGCATGATTATAAATACAACTGTAAATATATTTTTAAGTCTTAGTAATTGAAAGATTTTGAGTAAATGGGTTCTCTAATGGCTGGATGGGATTCACATATGCCAGATCCTGAATTAGGTATCTTTTAACAAAAATACTTTCTGTCTGCTTTCCTAGTAAAGTTAGTGGTTAATATTTGATGTGTAATTTTCTTTTTTTCAGTGAGATTCAAGAGGAATCGGTCACTTACCAAGGAAGAGATCGATGCTTACTGGAGACAGAAGAAGAAAACTGAAGAGGAACATCTCAAGGCTATTTCTAGTCCATCAGAAAAGAATCAGGTCTAATTTCTAAGATTTGTAGTTTAATATTACACGTTAAAATGCACCATGACATAGTGACCAATATGACTTGTTGTGACTAATATGACAGAGAAGTTGTGATGAGGAATCTGAAATCAAGTTCCAGAGATCAAGCTCCTTGCCTCTGACCAATGCCAAGGATGGTTCCATGAACATGGATAAAGAAACAAGCTTGGAGAATTTCATAAAAAATAACTGCTGGTAAATAGCTAATCTTCATCTGATCTAGTATTTCCCAAGTCCAGTGTTTTAATTATAGTCTCTCTTGGGGATTGCAGGTGGACTATGAGCAACTGGGCATTTCTAAATGAACCCCCTGTTCTTGAAGGCAATTCCAAGACTTACGCAGCTCAGTTCCACATTGCCAATCTTGCAACCTCCAAATCAAAAACAGATGCTGAAATTAGTAGCTATTAGTTGCTCTGTCCTTTGTCTTTGTTTGACTTTTTATATGTATCATATGCCACATAACCTAAATTACTTGCAACTCTAGGCTACCACTTTGTGAATTGGATGGTGTAAATTCGAAGGTATAAGGGGACGCGTTCATGTATAGGCAGTTGTTGGATTTTGGTTTGTCAACTAAGTGTGTAGTATAATTTCATCAGAAGACGTTTGTTATTGGGAGTTTTAAACTTTCTTTGTATTAAATTGAGAGAAATTTTGAACAAATTTTCTATTAGTCTGACTTGATCATATTACAGTTTTAACATATATTTTCCAATAATGAGTGTCCGGAGATCAATGAGAAGAAACAGGTAGATAAATAGAACAAAAAAAAAAAAAAAAAAAAAATACCCTAAGATATCACAATCTTGACAGAAATTTGAGTAGTCGATTCAGTAATCTCTCCTCGTTTACAAGACACTGGGAAAGCTTATAGATTTTATCCAATGATCTTTCACTTGATAACACCTCATTGTTATGCAACATTGACTCCATAATTGGATGGTAATTGAACGGGGCTCTTCCCTTTTTAAATCCATTAATCAAACGGCAAAATCCTTTTTACAGAGGAAGCAGACTCACCAATAAACTAAATGGACTTGTATTGTTTTGGGTCTGATTACTCTGAAGATCACAAAGCCCTTCACCAACATATCTAAAAGGCACCTCTTTTTATGGAAAAGTCTCTTTTTACGCTACTCAATCCCTTTCATGAACCAAAAATCGCAGGGTACTTAGATTTATCTATTTAGTTTCTGTTGTTTTTTTCTTTTTCAGAACATATTCATTTGCAGGTACTCAAATGGCAAATGCAACAGAAAAACATAATCATGCTTTCTTAATTTTTACTCATTAATTATGTTGCCGTCCACATCAATTGAACTCTACCTACCCAAAATCAACAATACTTTGTTGCCCCGTCGTTGATGATGGTGAAAGGTTAGGTTGTCACCTCTTTATCTGCTCAAATAATACTTTCCCTGCAGTGTCTTAAACCATCCAGTCTGGTGCAGTACTCTAATTAATTGATGGAGCTTATGCCTATGAACTTAAGAAACATGCAACTTTCCAAACTAAGTGGCAGGTTTATAAATGTAACCTGAAAAAACACGAACATCGAATACGATGTGTTATCAACCAACCAAAACAGTATCTATGGCAACTATCATTTTTTTTTTTTTTTCTTAAAATCATTAGTTGAGAAAGAAAATAATAAACATCTTGTTTGGATGAACTTGAACAACTTTACTGGAAGGTTCATCCCATGGATTCTCTTTTCAACTACCAGTAGGCACCACAAACAAAAAGATCAGTGATGGTATCTATGAGTGGCAATAACTTGCTGTATACATATAGCACTGCCTTGTGTAGGTTCAGCAAATGTCAATAGCTTCACCAATCCTCTGACTTGACTTTTCACTATTTTGAAGCAAATGCTATGTTCTCACCAAATTCAAGATAAGGACTCCTCAACCGAGATTTGAAATTAATCTTCTGAAGCTTTCTTTCTTTCATGATTACTATCCCCACCTTCTTGCTGCAATTACTTCAACATCCACTGATGAAGTAGATGAACATAAACCAATCAAAAAGTATACGAAGTTGAAATTAAAATTTTAGACTATGGAGCAATTATCAATGGTGACCTCTGATTTTAGAAATAGAGACTTTTTTCGTTAAAAACAAAAAAAATAATTGTAAAAAAATAATCCTATGTAGTTCTAGAATGTCGTGAGTTGTACTCCTATAGGCTATAACGGCATAATTATAAGGTCATACAGTGGTGAAAACAAACGCCCACCCACCACACCAGTAACATCCATAGAGACTTCTATCAGTTTCCTAAAGGAAAAGCTATTCTCCAAACTTAAACAATATATATAATTGTATGCTCATTCACTATCCCCATATCATAAACTTCCATTGCCTTTCCTACACTATTTCATATACTTTAAAACTTAAAAAACTAATTAATGGCTGAGAAAAGCAAGATTTTGTTTATTGGAGGCACTGGTTACATTGGGAAGTTTATTGTAGAAGCTGGCATAAAGGCTGGTCATCCTAGCTTTGTTTTAGTTAGAGAGAGTACTGTTGCTGATCCTATCAAGGGACAACTTGTTGAGAAATTCAAGAACTCAGGCGCCACTTTGGTTTATGTATGTGTTTATATATATATATATTTCTTTGTGGGAGTTGATTTTGTGGTTATGATGACGAGAGATATTACAAATTAGTGTTATTATATAGTTTTGATATTACTTTGCAGGGAGATCTTTACAACCATGAGAGCTTAGTGAAAGCGATAAAGCAGGTTGATGTGGTGATATCAACAGTAGGCGCCTTGCAGTTAGCTGATCAAACCAAGATCATTGCTGCCATCAAGGAAGCTGGTAATGTTAAGGTTGGTTTCTTCTTTGAATAACTCAAATTATTTCTTTTATTATTATAATTGATAGATACAATTCCTCAAAGTTTGATTTTCTTAATAGTTTGAAAAATGGAATTGAATCAGGGGATTTATTTATTCTTCTTGCTTCTTTTCTCAAAAAGAGAATATCATGGTAATTTAAAAAAAGAAGAGAAAGAGAGTAGGATGTTAATTTTAATTCCGGTTAGCTCATGGTTGTTTCCAACAAAGAGAATATTTCCTATTGGCGTACGTACGTGGATAGAGGTGATTTGATTTCGACCATAAAATTGGTATCAATGGAGTATGCTTTGCAGACCCCGCCTCCAAATTTGGTGGTGGTGGTGGTGGACCAAAACTGCAGTTAGATTAGAATGTGTATATCAAGTAGTGGGAAAGAAAATGAATACTGATGGAATAAGCTATTTGTCCTTTGCTTCCTCTAAATCGAGTGTCATGACTAAGGACCACCGCTTCATTGTGGAGAATACTCTTACCATGATGGGACATCCATCCACATATATAATTTTCTCAGACATTAACAGACCTTATCAGTCAATTTTTCTCTTCAATATGTAAATATATCGTAAACATTAATACATGAATTTAAAAGACATGTACAAACACAACATACTGATAAGATCAATGTCCCTTGTTACAATAATTCAGTATTTGAATGTTTCAGAGATTCTTCCCGTCAGAGTTTGGAAATGACGTGGATCGTCAGAATGCAGTGGAGCCGGCAAAATCAACATTCGCAGTCAAGGCGCAAATCCGCCGTGCTATTGAGGCTGAAGGGATCCCCTACACTTACGTGCCCTGCAACTGCTTCGCTGGCTATTTTCTCCCTACACTTTGCCAGCCAGGAGTCAGTGCTCCTCCCAGAGACAAAATCACTATAATTGGAGATGGGAACGTCAAGGGTATATTACACACTCTCTCTAAAATCGCTTAACTTTACGGAAATATTATTGGTATTAATTTCTTGATTCCAGAAGCAGAGGAGCTGATGATGCAGAAATTTTAGCAAGAACATTGACAATGGTTCATTAAATATTAAAATTATGTTGAGACAAATATAACATGCCTCATTCCTTGCACTCCAATTTTGTCTGCAGCGGTTTTCAACAATGAAGCAGACATTGCAGCTTATACCATCAAAGCTGTGGATGACCGAAGAACATTGAACAAAATCCTCTTTATCAGGCCTCCTCAAAACACTTACACATTCAATGAGCTTGTTGCTCTATGGGAAAAGAAGATTGGAAAAACTCTTGAAAAAGTATATGTTCCAGAGGAGCAAGTTCTCAAAGACATCCAAGGTCAGATTCCAGTTTACCTAATCTTCTGACCATTTGTTTTTTTTAAAAACATAGAGGCAATTAAAGTGGTCTGCTTCATTCTGTGAACTTTTTACAATACATTGTTGCAGAGGCTCCGTTCCCACTCAACATTGTGATGTCTATCAACCACTCGATTTTGGTGAAGGGTGATCAGACAAACTTTACGATCGACCCATCTTTTGGAGTAGAGGCTTCCGAGCTTTATCCTGATGTCAAGTACACCACAGTGGAAGAATATCTCCAGCAATTCGTTTGAGCGATTAAAATTATTCAACCTTTAATTAGCTGTTACTGAAATAATTATAAAGCTGTTATCATTTGCGATTTCAGCATGAAGCGTGTATTGTGTCATCGTACTCGTGTTTTCTTCGAATCTAAGACTGAATCATATTGTCGCTATATGTATTGAACCATGATGAAATATGGAATGCTGAGGATATCCATGCTAGAATCAAGCAGTCATTGATTTGATTGATTGTAATATTTTGTAATATTTTGTAATTTAGAGTTTATTGTTTTTCCTTTACAATATTATTTCCTTTCCTTATTGTATTTAAAGCTACTATATAAATCGGCTGATGTACACATTACAGAACATACAATACAACTACAAATTTCTCTCTTTGCTTGATAATCTTTGGTCTTCATTTCTGCCCCTTTATCAAGGTTTCTTGTAGGCATTCTTCGGCAGTTTTCTGTCTCTTTTGCCACCTTCAATCTCAAACTCTGACATGGTATCAGAGCAAACCTTTGTTTCCGCTACAATCCTCTCCAAACCATTGTTTCCCTAAACCTGCAAAACAAGGCAACAAAATTAGTTTTTTTTTTTTAGACATCACAAATGGACCCAACCACAATACCAGACTCAGCATCCATAGCCACAAATGAAGGCCCACACAACCAAACTCCACCAGGCCCAAACACTCACACTGGTCCAAATCCTCCACCAGGCCCAAACACCCGCACTGGTCCAAATCCTCAACTAGAGCCCAACCAACAACGCGGATCCAGTTTTCAACCCAGCCCATTCCCATTCGGGTTTATGGGTCAAAACCCTAACCTGCCGGGTAAAAATCCCTACCCGATTTTCCAAATTCTTCTAGCCTCCACCGGCCGACCGGAACCCAGGGATGCCCTTTTCTCGCTGATTTCCGATGGATCTGAACTCGTACTCATCAAACAGCCATTGGCTGGATCTCAAAACTACGCCACTTGGGCCAGAGATTTCCAGTGTGCTCTGGTAACAAAAAACAAAGAAGGGTTCATCGATGGAACCCTTTTCCAACCCACTGAACAACATCTGATCCAACACTGGATTCGATGCAATACCCTCGTTCGTGCCTGGATTAGCAACTCCCTAACCCAGGAGATTGCTGCCAGCTTGCCTTAGACAGAAAACACTTATGAGATGTGGACGAACATCTGAGAGATGTATGGCCAACTCGATCTAGCAAAGCTTTTTACTTTGCGTAAAAACCTCCTTGAAATCAAACAACACAATCTACCAATCACGGTTTATTTCAATCGCCTTCCGGCGATTTGGAACGAGCTCGATGCTGTTGAAGAACCGATTGAAGGGCCATTTGCGATTCTTCACCAGATCAAACACCTGAAAGATCAAAACAGGTTAATATAATTTTTACTTGGTTTAAATGACAATTTTTTGGCTTTTCGAACACAGATATTGGCTATGTCCCCTGTGCCATCTCTCTGGCGCACCTACCAACTGGCTGTACAAGACGAAAGCCAGAGATCGGCTTCGTCTGACTCCCAATCCAGGACTGAAGTGGCTGCCTTCGCTGTCCATTCCCAATGGTGGCAGAGTGGACCATCTGAAATGAACACTGGACACAACAAGGGGAGGCTAGGGCAAACTGTTGGTGAACACAATAATTTATATGAGGGAGTTAACTGCCCAGATCTGATCTCCTCATCCAACGGCTCAAGTCCAACTAGGCTTAATAACCGTTTCGGCCCAAATTTGGTTCCCAGCCCAAACTCCAGAAATAGCCACATTTTTGCAGCTAGCCTAAACTCAGGCAGTAACCCGGCCCACTTCACAACTTTTAATTCTTCTCAAGGGTCATTCAAGTGCAACAAAAATCATTATTGCGATTTTTGCAAGCGGAGGACCACACAAGAGACGCTTGTTGGAAACTCCATGGCCGCAACCAAAATCAATGGTCTAGATCTGCCACTGCCAATCAAGTAAGTCACCCTGTCAACTGTGAGAGTATCGCTATGGTCCCTATGTTTAGCCAAGAACAATATCGTCAGATCCTGCAACTGCTCAATCAAAGTCCGCAGCCCAATTGCACATCCTATGCAGGTATATCCTTTTGTTCCAATATTACAAAAGAAAATTTTTGGATAATTGATTCAGGGGCCAGTGACCACATTGTTTGCGATCCCAAACATTTTTCAAAAACATTTCCCATACCCTACACATCGGTCCACATGCCAAATGGGACACATGCACCAGCCACCCAATTAGGAACTGTTTGTCTAAATAAACATTCAATTCTTCATAATGTCTTGTTTGTTCCTGCTTTCCATTTCAATCTCATCTCTGTTTCAAAACTTTGTCAAGATAATGTCTGTCTCTTAAAATTTTTTCCTAACAAATGTGAATTTCAGGACTGTTTGACTGGGAAACTGATGGGCTCGGGTAAAGTTCACCAAGGCCTTTATTATTGGATAGGTGCTTCTGATGCTAAAACTTCAATGTCTTGTAACCCTTTTTTTAACATTAATAAAACCTCTTTTATTTTGCATCAACGCATGGGTCATAATGCATCTATTCCACAACCCAATTGTCATATTTGCCCTCTTGCAAAACAGCCCCGCACGAAATTTCCCAAACACACGCCTTCCACAAACCATACCTTTTCCTTAATTCATATGGACATATGGGGTCCATATCACACAGCCAATCACGATGGCTCTAGATATTACCATTGTAGATGATTACTCTCGGGGAACCTGGGTCTACCTCATGCACTCTAAACCCAGACACTCACTCATATTAGACATTTCTTGTCCATGGTCAAAACCTAATTTGATGTTTCGGTTCAACGAGTCCGAACAGATAATGCTAGGGATTTTTTCAACACCCAATGTTCGGAACTTTTTTCCTCTCTTGGTATTATCCATGAAAGCTCTTGTGTCTATACCCCTCAATAGAATTGCATAGTTGAACAGAAACATCGACATCTTTTAGAGGTCACTCGTGCCCTTAAACACGAAGCCAACATCCCTACTACCATTTGGGGCGAATGTGTGGTCACAGCCACCTACCCGATCAATAGGATGTCGAGTCAGACTCTAGATGGCAAGACACCTTATGAGGTACTTTTTGGTAAACCACCTACAGTTGATCATCTTAGAGTATTTGGGTGTCTATGCTACTCTACAAATTTAAGGGGGAATGATAAATTTTCTCCTCAGGCTATTACATGTGTTTTTATGGGTTACCCAGTGCATCAGAAAGGTTATCGCCTATATGATATCACCGCATAGAAATTCTTGGTTTCTAGGGATGTGGTTTTTTATGAAGATTTTTTTCCTTTTTTAGACAGGTTCCCCTCTGACGACTCCCCGCAGACTCCCATTTTTTTCGAAGATACTTCCACAACGGACTTGTCCCTCCCTTATTATACCATGCATCCCGTTCAAGACATGGGACCCTCCAAGTCAACCTCTCAACCAGTTTTTGTAGAGACACAGCTTCCTAGTCCTTCTCCTACTTCATCTCCAGAGAACCAGCTTCCTGATCCACCTCCCCTAGACAATACACCTATTGTTCCTGCCCCTCCTCAGAGACGTTCCACAAAGGTCACTCGCCCACCTGTTTGGATAGAAGATTATGTTTGTCCTACCCTCCCGACTACCACAGGTACTACTTACCCTACTTCCAACTATGTTACTTATGATCGACTATCCCCTGCCTATAGGATTTGCATTAGTCAGATTTCTACACACCAGGAACCATCATGTTACTCTGAAGCTATTTCCCATTCACATTGGTGTCAGGCCATGGCCGATGAGCTCAGTGCCCTATCTCAGAATCACACCTGGGATCTTGTTCCTTGTCCCTCTCATAGGAAACCCATTGGTTGCAAATAGGTTTACAAGGTCAAGCACCGTGCTGATGGTTCCATTGAGCGTTACAAGGCTCATCTCGTTGCCAAAGGTTCACCCAGAGAGAAGGTTTTGATTACCAAGACACCTTTTCTCCAGTGGCCAAGCATGTTACTGTTTGGACCTTCTTGTCCATTGCTGCCATCCAAAATTGGTCCCTTCACCCAATGGATGTCCATAATGCCTTTCTCCATGGAGATCTTCGTGAAGAAATTTATATGGACCTTCCTCCCGGACTTCGTAGACAGGGGGAGAATATGGTATGTCGTCTACGCAAGTCCTTATATGGTTTGAAGCAAGCATCACGTCAATGGAACGCAAAATTCACAGAGGCTCTAACTAATATGGGATTCACTCAATCCAAGCATGACTACTTTCTCTTCACATGGCACAAAGGTACCACTGTCATTGCTCTTATTTTTTATGTTGATGATATTTTAATCACTGGGAACGATGAGAGTGGCATTCACACCCTAAAAGAACATCTCAACAAACATTTCCGTATAAAAGATCTGGGGGAACCAAAATATTTCTCGGGCATTGAGATTGCACGATCCCCGATAGGTATTTCTCTAAGTCAACGAAAATATGTTTTAGAACTTGTATCCGACTCTGGTTTATCAGCATGCAAACCCAGCATCATTCCTGTGGAACAAAACATCAAACTCACATCACAACAATATGACCGTGAGACAACCTCTTCAGAAAATGATCCTCTGTTATAAGACCCATCTCCCTACCAAAGACTCGTAGGAAGACTTATCTATCTCACCATGACAAGGCCTGACATAAGTTGTGCAATCCACATACTGAGTCAGTTCATGCATCAACCCAAATAATCTCATATGGACGCATCAATCAAGGTGCTTAAATATTTAAAAGGATGTCCTGGATAAGGACTTCTCTTACCTCGAGATAGGAATTTTGACATCACAGCTTACTGCGATTCAGATTGGGGTACTTGTCCTATGACCAGAAGTCTCTTACAGGATTTTGCATAAAATTGGAGGATCTCTTATATCATGGAAAACAAAAAGACAATCAACAATATCACTTTCTTCAGCTGAAGCAGAATATAGAGCAATGGCAAAAGCAACTTGTGAGATTGTCTGGATTCTTGGATTAGTCAAAGACTTGGGAGTAAAAACAGGAAAACCAGTCACTCTGTACTGCAATAACAAAGCTGCTAATGATATCGCGGCAAATCCAGTTTTCCATGAAAGAACTAAACATATAGAAATTGACTGTCATTTTGCCAGGG